CTCTGTCTGCCACGGTAAAGTCAATCCTGAAAATTGTACCATGTCAGATCTCAGCTGATAAGTGTGTGCTGGCAAATTGTGTAAAACATTTATGTGTCTGCATGCTGTCTGATCAACCCAATGTTTTACAGGGTTGTATCTTAGCTCTTTCAGTTATACTTGAAATACTTAATCAGTACAATTTGTGCACTACCTTCAGTTCAGTCACAGAGTATTACATGTTTTATTTAAAACTACAGTACTAATGTACAAAATATTGCCAACTGTTTATTCATGTGAGTTGGTACATCAATTGATCTTCTGAAATATGCCTAACATGCTCATAAATATATATATATACTCCTTTGGATAGGACTTTTGTTTGTTGTTGCTTTTTTTTTTTTTTGAACCATGAAATGTGCATCATTAAAAAAAAAATTCACACAAAAAAAATTGAGAAAATGTTGGGAAAAAAATTAATATAAACACTCAAAACTGTTCATGTATCTTTTCATGAGAAAAAAATAAACATTAAAAAATTGTTTAGCCTTTTGTGTTGTCTGTTTGTAGAAAAGTATTTGAGGGAAATGTTTACTGTTACAAGTCCCTTGTTAATGTGTGTACTGTGAATTCTTTGTTTTCCTGCTCGTAGGAAAAAAATCACAGTGTTCTATTTGTCATCCAAGGCTTTTCAAAGTGTTCACATGCTGTACTAAAATCGTAAAAATGGTCTCTTGACTTGACGTAAATTTCAAAGAATGCAAAGATGGCAGAAAAAGCACAGCTATGTAAGTAGACTATTCACATTATGATATTGATGTGTTAAGGCCAGGCCACATGTCCATCAAAGCAGAAACGACTGTTTTTTTGTCGGGAGGAGGCAATTCAGTCTGTTTTTGCCCGGCATGTGTGTCCAACCTGTAAGTAGCTCTGACACCATGTCTTTTCTCGTTGTTGGGCTATATAAATAGTCAACAGGTCAGTGGACACGAGATGGCAAATTGAAATGGAAATTTTTATTTTTTATTAGAGTAATTGTCAAGGCAGTGCTACTGACTGAATTGTAAATGGGCTGATTTTTCAATGTCGTGCTCGTACTGTACCAGAACAACATAGAGGGAACTGCTGCTTTTTCTTTCCTCATCCTTTTCCTCTACTTCTTTTGTATGTTTGTCACTCTTGTGAACTGCTATTTCCGGGATGCCTTGTTAGTCGAAGCAGACCTTGCGCTGTTGAGGCAAGAAAGGTGAGCAGAGTAAGCCTGATTCCATGTTTTGACTTCTCTGTTGATGTCCACCCCTTAGCGCTCATATGACCGAATGCAGTTGAGAGCACCGGAAAACCATACTAAATTTAAACTTAGTAAAATTGTTAATATAATGCTTTTAACACTTTGCAGAACCCGTGGGGGCGGTGCTACTGACTGAAGTGTCTTTTGGCCATTCCCAAAGGTGGGACATTAACCATGTTCTTATTATCTTATGCACAGTAGAATTATAATTGAAAATGGGCTGATTCATCAATGTCATGCTCATAACTGTGCCGGAACTGCTGCTTTTTCTTTCCTATTCCTTACTGTCGTCTTCCCCCCCCCCCCGTCATTTTACCTCTACTTTTTTTGTACATTTGTCACTCTTTTGTGACCCTCTATTTCCGGGGTGCCTTGATAGTCAAAGCAGACGTTGTGCTATTGAAGCTAGGGAGGTGAGCAAAGTGGGTCTGAACTGTAAAGACATCTCTGTTGACACCCACCCCTTGGCGCTCAAATGACTTTAATGCCTTATGCAGTTGCGAGCACCGTAAAACCTCTACTAAAACAAACACTTTGCAGTCACACAGCCAGCTGTACATAATACCTCGCCTGGTCACCCCAGCACATGGCCAAACTAAAGTAAAATGCTGTATGCTGCATGGGGCATTCCCACTGACCCATCTTTTGTTGCGAGGTGCCGTGTCGTTTTGATAGACAAACGTTTTCATGGATTATTAAGGTAGTGCTCCATTTCAACTACTGACTTTCTGAAAGACAAAGGTTGGGCGGTAGACAAGAAGACTTAATCCTCTGGGCTATAAATCACTGAGATTGGTCTATCTTCATAAGAGTTTAATTCTATACACGATCGCGTGTACTGGCTGCATCCCGCCAGCTCAAACCAGCAATTGTCTGAATTCATGAAGGATATTTACCAGACCTAACAGTTTGTTCCTTATTATTAGTATCCCAGCCCACTGCTCTCAGCAGACATTCAACTCGTGAGTACAGGCGAAAGTGAGGATGGACAAACTTTTTTCTCCACCACAGGGACATACAGTGAGACTTGCATCCTATGAAGTCAACGACCCGACCTTCAAGTTTTAAAAAAATGAGCCAGTGTTCATAGAAAGAAAGGTGCGACTAATGTGAGCGTTTTTAAAATCTATTACAATAGGGACATCTGTTTTAAATACTGAATGTGCCATCATGCGAGTCCCAAGGAAAAGAACCAATTGTTACTTTTACTTTTTCAACCTCTGTTGCTGTTAAGCGCTGAGGAAAGATGCAGTTTTCTATGGTAGGCCAGCTCTGCAGCTCTTTCAGTAGTTATGTAAAAAGAAACTCTGCCGGCTAAAGGGGCTCTGGTGAAACCATGACCGGCCTAGCAAGCCGATGGCGGATAATTACTGCTACGAAACAATCACAATCAAAGAACCAATGGTGTCCCAAAAAGCTGGCATATGAATATGAAGGATGGGTTAGTTCTCTTATACTATAGTAAAAGTCATCTCCTGAACAATAAGGTTGGACTTAATTTACACACGCAAGATTCACATTTGTTTTTTTTTTCGAATGAATTAAACAAGCCCACATATAAAAGTGTTTTGTGAACATGATCTTTAATTAAACCTAGCTGGATGTGTATCGCCATATCAACTTCTGTTTTTCTTGTCCACTGCAGCTCTTATTAAAATTATCTTTGTCGTTTTAAAAAGTTAACTAAGAGCTTGGTATAATGCTGTGTTAACAACAAAATCCATTTATTTTTTCCCTTTTTCGACATCTTGAATGCAAAGCAGTTTGATTCTAAATTGGTTATTTGTGGGTGGTTGGCGGGTGCTCTGGTGTGGTTTGCTTCTTCTTTCCTATCACACATCCATAGTCCTTATCTCCCCTTCTTCTTTTTTATGTTTGTTACTCTCTTGTAACACCTCTAATCTTCTGGCGCTCATATGACCGTATGCAGTTGCAAGCGCTGTAAAACCTCTAGTATAACTAAAAATTTGGTTATGTAGTTTTGTCTACTGTCATACGACACGTTCCTATCATAGGACTAGACTAACGATGAAAACTGAACAACTGCAGTGCCACTGTACAGTATACAGTGGATTGCCAAAAATGCTGGGTGAAAGCACATTTCATTCAAATGCACGTCTATGTTTGCCACAAGTCATGTAGCACACTAAGGCTTACGGCTGGGCAAAAAGTTTGAGACTGCATCTATGCAGATGATCCACACCCCTCACACAGACATCCCCCCCTCCCCCCAAGTACATGCTGTTAGTGCTGAGCATCGACTTCGATTTTCGTAGCTGCCAATAAGTATTTTAAGTATGTTTAAAAAAAGCATGTAACACTAATAATACACTTTCGAGGGTCTGAGTACAGAAGTCCCTTTTACATTTAGTGTTAGAAAATGCATATTCTCCATTTTCTCATTTTGCTCCTCACTGACTTGCCGATGCTAATGCAAATGAAAAATTATGAACTTTCAAGACAGGATTACTATTACCGAATGGCATCATGCAGAAGAGTTAACGCTCAGATGCTACTGGATCGCTAACAACAACAACAAGACAGGATTAGTAAATAATAATGAGAACAAATTGCCTTTCATCTGTTGGAGAGATTGTCACTTCTATAAACATTTCTCACATTATTGTTGCAGGTTTGCTTTGAGTAACTTTAATTTATTGAATGCAGAGAAGTGTATGTGATGTGATAAGCTGTGTATCTCTGTTGTGTCAATCATAGTATACAGTGCATGCTATGCGATAAGCATGTAATGAGCCATGGTGCGTGGTAAGTGATGACCCCTTTGAATAGGGCTCAACAAAGTTCCTTGGGGGAAAAAATGAGTCCCAGTTTGCCAGTTTCAGTATGAAGAATTTGAGGCATCGGATTTTAACGAATAAAAAACAGAATTTTACACCTTTTGATAGTTTTGTTAAGTTTGAGTTCCCTGCATGCAAGTCTTACATGTACTGCAACTGTAGTCACAGAGTCTGCTATGTGTTGAGAGGATTGCCTCTACACACATACATTTTCAAAATTTTATGGTTTTATAAGGACTAGGAAAATAAATATTACGGACAACAATCTAATCGGAAGCAATGGGTGTGTCATCCAATGACTATGTTTTGATGTGTTTTACAGCACTCCTAACTGTATAAGATCATATGAGCGTGCTGGACACATTAAACATTTTCAGTTAGGTAGGAATTAATTTTGAATTTAGCCCAGGTGGCAGCCAAAGTCTACTTTTATTGATTTTGGATCACGAAGGGATCTTTAACATGCGCAACTTGCACACGGACCTCCGAGATTTTTCGCCCATATCGAGAAGGCTAGGTGTCAGATCTTACCTACCATAAGACCAGGGGTGTGGCTGAAAGATAGCAGAAAGTAGGAGCAATGAGTAGCAGTATAAAGGCTGCAAAAAGAGTCAGGGGCCCACAGGAGGGGGAAAAGGAGGTGAGGGGGTGGGGGCAGAAAATAGAGACGAATGCAGATGATAGAACATTGTTAGAGCAGGAAAGGAGGTGAAAGGAGAAAATAAATTTTCCATCATTGTCTGGATTCGAACATGGAACCTATACAATGAGAAGCAAACGCCGTAACCTCAAGACCATGAGAGCCCCTGACTATGTGTCAAAGTCCAAAGAGGGCGAAGGAATATATCCACACCATCGAGGACATCCCTTGATGATCAATAAGTAAGGAAAATAACTTTAAGTAAAATAAAAATTTCACTGAACTCCTGTCACATGGTAAAATTCATTTCCTTTTATTAGGTTTTCGTCTATTCTCATTTGGATTCCGACGAGTCCACTGAGGAGCCTGCTGTTTGTTTCTACCAAGCTGTGAGGCGCGGCTTGTCACGTCATTAAGACGAAATGGGCTGCTGTCAGCAACGTAGTCAGCAGATAGGATGTCCACCTTTTGCAAAGCTTTCTTGGCTGGTCTCTGATGAGGCAGTGGCTGGTCAGCTGTGAGCAGGGGATTAAAGGCGTGCTTACCACCCTGAGGCTTGGGCAGCGAGTACTGGAGAAGATAAAAGCAAGAAAAACAATTTTAACCTGAAGAAAAGAGAAGAAGAAAAAAAGTAACACAAAGTTTACGCAATTTGAAAACAAGGCAACCAGCACGGCATTAAGTTATAAAGGTTTTGTAAAGTAATGAAAAAGAAAATTAATTCTGTCCAGACATGGCAACACCTTGCTCAGAAAAAAAACAACCCCCAAACCCTCGCATGATTAGAACACATCTTTCAATATCCCAACAGACATTTAAGAATACTAAAGATCATTTCCTGGAAATAAACAAAAATGATGAACTGTGGACTGATGTTTCTCAGTGCTTCCAACAGCAGAAGCTGAAAAGTAAGGAAAAATCTGCCGGGGATTTGGGGGCTGCACACCCAGCAGGTGGGTCCAGGGACAGCGTCCCGGTGGGGACTCAGGGAGCGAAGTCCCCGAAGAAATTGAAATTTAGTGCTTTTAGAGGGTTGAAAATGGCAGTTGAAAGCTTGTTTGAAGAGATTGCCAGCAATCCATTACAGCTTTGTTTGATTTCTCCACCTACAAATCTTTCTATACCCCCCGGGGCAGTGCCACTGACTGTAGTGTCTTTAGGCCATTTCCAAAGGGGGGACATTTCTTGTTCAAGCACAGTAGAATTGTAAATGGGCTGATTCATGTCACACTCATAACTGTGCCTGATCTACAACAGGGAACTGCTGCCTTTTTCTTTCTTAATCCTTACTACTGTCATGACATTTTCCTCTACTTCTTTCGTATGTTTGTCACTCTCTTGTGACCCGCTATTTCTGGGGTGCCTTGACTTGATAGTCGAAGCAGACCTTGTGCAGTTGAAGCTAGAGAGGTGAGCAGAATAAGTCTGATTCCCTGTAAAGACTTCTCTGTTGACACCCACCCCTTGGCGCTCATATGACCTTATGTAGTTGCGAGCGCCGTAAAACCTTCTACTATAAAAAAAAAAGAAAAAAATCCTTCTATTGCAGCCAATGTTAAAAAAAATCAGATTTCCCTTGCCATCGCTTAGCTACTATAATTTATAATTCAATTAATTTGTCATCGCACCATTGACAGAAGGCAAATCTGGGAATAATGAATAATAAACAGGCATGTACCATGACGATAAAGTATAGAGCTACCCAGCGTATACCTTAACATTCCTCCATTTTCACGTTTGAATGTCGAGTGTCACAACCTGGGAACACCACTTTGAATCATTCTTGATTTTAGTAGTTGTAGTATAAATTTCTTTCATTGTGGCCTTAATCGTGCTCCCGCAGCCGTAGAATGATCACATTGACAATTTCTCTAGATCTAGATCAAGACAAATTTGATTTAACTCGCTGGAGACTGGGCCTTTTTCGGGTCTACGACGTGCACCGGAGACTGGCATTTTCAGGGGTATTTCAAAATATCAAACAACACCCCTCCGAAAGACATACAACCACCATTTTTACACACACAACAAATCTAAACATGCCCAATAGGACACAAAAAGCAGAAAGGCAATATCCTTTACACTTTCTTAGAAATGATTTTTTGAAAATGTGCTAAAATTTGCTGCTTACCAGCATTTTTTTATGTAAAAAAAAAACTCCAACAAAACACCAAAACAAATCAACACTGTGTATGCTTTTCGTTGTGTTTTGTGTTTCAAAATGAATAAAAAGTTCAAACTCATGAATAGGCAGGTAATCGGTATGGTAATCCTATGTATTAGTCAGCTGTGTAATTCACTTCAGTGTACAAAAAAAAACAACCCTGGGCTCCAGATAAGGCGGAATTTTGTATTTGAAAGCCTAGTCTAGATCTAGAACATACTCTGTCAGAATCAGTGCTTTGATGCCCATTTACATTGAAATCAGGATCCCCATGGTCTAAAATATCATAATCAGAATTTTCTGAACTGTCAGAGTCATCAAACCCTTGAAAAATGTTTGCTTTTCGAGCTTATTTCTAATGTATTTTAAAAAAAACGGAAAATTCATTTCCAATTTGGCATTCAGTTGACATCAATATTATGATTAGAATTCAATGGTAAAACATAGTGGGGAAGAGAAAACGTGCTTCAAGAGTAGATTTTAACACCTTCTAAAAGCAGTTTTCGTTATATTTTTTTAAAATACCATAGTCTCAAAATTTTTCAAAATAAAATATTTAGAAGTCAGATCAATGAAAAGCCATTTAACACATTGTTAAAAAATGGTGGAACTATCATTTTTAAAAATGAAAACACATTTTGGTCAAAAAAGTGATTTTTTGTCACCATCAGCCTGTAGCTCAAAATTCTCTGAGGCGACTTTTTGCACCTTTCTTTAGGCGCACACACACACACACATATGAGCAACTTCTAAGGCCATGAGTAAGCAAACCGTGAACACTCACTTTCTTGCCCCGAGTTCGGACCATGTAGTTTCTCGCCAGGTGGTACTTCACCACACCGTTTTCATCTATGCTGGTGGTGAGACGTTTCAGAGTCTTGTTGCCACAATGAGGGCAGAACTGTTTACTGGTATCCTTTGTGATCCTGGACAAAAAGACATAAAGATAAACATTTACTGCATTTGGTATACAAAAGGGCAAAATGGTTTGCCACTTTTTATAAATATGTGGTACAACATTGATAGGTCGAACACAGAAGACTCGAAATCATGCATCCATTGAATTGTGCCTGCAGTCCCATTTTTTTCTTTCTTCTTTAATTTTGTAAGATATATCCCTCGAACTACCGAGGCCGTTCCCGAAAAATTCCAGCTATCCGAGTTAAACTGCAATGCTCTTAGAACAACTTAAGACAAATTTCTTTATAACCACCCTTGCAAATTGAAGTTGGAATGATTTAGCACTTGATTCAGTCATCTGAAGCTGGCTGTCCATCTGCTTAGTAATGTATGAATAGAATAACATTGTTTGTTCCAAGATAAAAGCTTAAGCAATGACATACTGCTCTTCTTCTTCCCATACCCTTGCTAGAGCTCAGAAAGTAACTGCCTGTAAGATCGTCATCTTCCAGTACAGTTGATTTTATGTATATGGCCATTTTATATCTACATAGAACGATACACCATCCCTTGCCCACAAGGCCGCTATGTGCTGTTTTCCAAGATACTCTTAATATTTATACTGACTAAAGTAGCTTCCGTTTTCTGGTAGGAATTAATTTTAAATTTTTGCTCTGCCAGCGGCCTGTACTGTTATCAATTTTAGAACAACCATGGGGGCCTTAAATGTGTGTAATTGGCACACTGGACCTCCAAATATTTTTTTGTCCTCATCTGAAAAGAATAGGTGCTCGGTCCTACCTACCCAATGACAGAGGGGGTACAGAAAACAAGGAGAAAAAAAAATAACGCTGTCTGGAATTGAACTCTGGATCCACATGTTGACAGGCCAGGCAAATACCACACACATGGAACTACTGAACTCCCTCTAAATACTGCCTTAAAAAGTGCATATTATAACATGTACGAAATTATTTCGCTATGTTATTGAACCAGACAAAAGATATTTGAGCCTTTGCCAATAGGAGGGGGTTTCATCATATATACCTTACAAAATCCTTTCTTATTCCAATAAAAATGATGCTACAGCTTTGAAATTTGTATATTGTGCTTAATATGATGTTTCAGCCAGTGGCGGGGCGCCATTGGTGCAAGCGCTCCACATAACCCTGGCCTTCACCTCCCCCATTTTCTAATTGTTCTAAACCAGTCAGATTTACACTAGTACCCAAGACGGAATAGTACTAGTAGTACTAGCCTACATCCTTGCAACCTGTTTTCCTGTCCCCGCTGGCTGTGCGCGCGCCAGCGAAGAGACAGACAGCGAGGATGGTTTATGCTCGTCACATCGCTTGCTGTAGGGTCTGCTGGGAGCAAGCAAAATCTTTGCACCAAAGTTATTTTTGTCACTGTAGAGAAATCTATGCATCGTCCTTCCCGCACAAGAAGAAAGGTGCGTGAAACTCCAGTTCGCAGCGCCAATTTGGTGCAAGCTAAAAATTTGATCCAAATTACTGCTTGCCAAGGCCTATCTACTACACTAGTAGAGTCTAAGGTGACTCAATGAAGAATGGGTATCAAAACTGTTGTCGTCCTCTATTGTGTAGCAAGTCCTGTTAAGGTAATTTTCAAATTGAGTCTGGTTGTTGGTGCTGCACGAAGTAAGTAATTAGAAATCTTTAAATCTTCTCAGATTGTGAGCATAGTGAGGTGTTAGTATTGTTTCACTTTATGGCAGCTTTTATGTGGTTTCATCTAGAATCAGTAGTAAATATCGATAGATCTAGATTACGGGATATCCTGCAGATTCTAACTGATGAATCACGTTAACGCTTTGCTTCTTGTGCCTTCTTGTGCCATTCAGCAGGCTACAGTTAGAAGAGAAAGTGCGAATAAAAGAACTTAGTCCTCATCTGTCGCGGGATTTTGAGCTCAAGAAATGTTCGCTTTTTTTCCTGTACGTAGTATGATAAGAAAAAGAAATTATACTGTTTTAATTACAAGTCTGCTTTTGACTGATCGATCAGACACTGACAAGGTTTGGTCATCAATTACACTCACACCCTCTTTGCCTTTCTTTCTCTCTCTCTCTCCCAAACACACACACACACACTCGCACACACATACACACAAACACGCACAGACAGACTTGCAGAAAGCAATAGTAAGAAAGAACAGACGACACCAGAGCGCCCGCCAACCGCTCATTACAATTTTAATAGTAGCAAGTAAGCCTATTGCCCATTTGTGCACTTTCCAATTATGCACCACCTTGTCTGCAACCCACGCGACGCCACTGGTTCCAGCTATACTATAGGATCGGGCCATCAAAAGAAATCTTACAAATATTTTTAGTTCTGAAATCGATGTACTTTTAGAATGCAAAACGGGACACGTCGAGTTTGTACTTTTTCTGTCATCAAGTTCAACAATGAAATAATTATTGAGAAACTCGTCCTTCTACACTTTAACTATTATAACTACATTATTTGATGTGCTACATCAGGAATAATGATATCTGTAGCTGTTTTTTTTTTTTTTTTGGTGAGCCTTCAAGATTTTCATTTTCGAGCATAACCCATGTTGTCATTTCACAAGGCAACTTTGATTCCATGTGACTTCGTCTATCGGCCATTTTGGGGCACTTGAACGAACATAATATCGTTCAATGTTTACTCTCTGCCCTGACAGATTCTGAGGCTGTGACTGTGCGTAATTTTTCAGTAAACAGAAATCCCACAACGCCTTGTGCTCTGTCATCATTTGTTATAAGTTCGAAAGAACTAATCAAAAAATGAAAAATAGCAGGGGTGGAGAAACGTACATTGTTCCTGTGGATCCATTCAAAGCCTATTGCTGTGCGATGCAAGACGGCAAGAAGAATAACGATGGATGAGACGAACTCATTTAAGTTTTCTTATATCGTGATCAAATCTTAACATGTTATGTTCGAAAAAGGTTTCTCCCCATTTAATTAAAATTAAACCAAGTAATGATTAACATTGTACTGCGTTCCAATGGTCAAGGAGTGCTAGATTTACATGCGACCATGCGTGCCTGGCTAGATGTCAACGAGAGGGGAAAATTTGATGTAAATTGATGTTATAATGTTCCACAATGACGACCAACATTTATCCATTATGTGTCATCGTGGTTATGTTCGAAAGAGGACATTTGGTATTTTGCATAGAGCCGAAGTAAAATGTGAATTAAGTGGCATTTTATCACCATTAGCATGCATTATGAGTCACCTGAATCTTTGTTCGCCAAAATTTTCACAAAACGAATTAAAATATGAAAATGGAAAGTTTTTCATTTCTTTCGGACATAACTATGATGACACAAATGCGAACACGAAGACATTCTGAATTTCTGTTTTCTGTGATTTTATATGTTCTTCATGCTTATGTTTGAAAATTAAAGCAATCAGAAAACTATCAAAATAATTTTATGTTCCATAAATTTCTTTCCAGGGCATGTTTCATTTTATGTCATCATTGTTATGTTCGAAAGATATTTGATATTTTGCAGAGACTCATAGCAAAATATGAATAACGTGGTATTTTTCCATCATTAACATACATTGTAAATCTAATTGAACCTTCTAAATCTTTGCTTGCCCAAATTTTCATAAAAGAAATTTAGAAATGAAAACGAAAATTTTTCATTTCTTTCCAACATAACTAGGATGACACAAATGAAGACACAGTGGCATTCAGAATTTATTGTTTCTGTGATCCTCACCATTTTATATGCCCTTCGTGCTTATGTTTGAAAATTAAAGCAATAAGAAAACTGTTAAAATAATTTTGTCATGTTCAAATTCTAAAAAATGAGTCATCATAATTATGTCCGAAAGAATTTGGCTTGATGTTATATAATGCCAGCTACACAGCTTAGCATGCCATCTGTAGGTCAGTAAAATACATGTTTTGTAGGAGGAGATACATATATCGAAAAATTCAAGTAAAAAAGAAATATTAATAACATTACCATCAACCCCCTGTGCTACATTTTGGGTGTACTCACCTATTGGCAAAGGCTCATTTCCTCATAAAGAATCCTTCCTTTGAGTGCATAATTGTGCAATGCCACAGACCAGAGCAAAAATTTTCATGAACTACCATCACATACTTAATAACAGGAAAAAAACACCATGCAGACAGCACTAGAAAGTCAGCCTTTCAATGTAGTGTATTAATAACAGCCCTCTTATCGACTAGGTGCCACCACAAAACATTCGGGAAAGAGAAGCAAGAACGGACTGAAAAGTAGATTGACTCTTACCTCATGCAGCCATGGCAACGAAGCACATAGCTCTTGACTTGTTTGATCAACATGCCATCCACTGACAATACATGGAGACCCATCTGGATCAACACATTCTGTTATTGAAACAAAAGTCATACATTAGCCTTTGGTGAGTGGAAGTTTACTGTGAGTCAGCAAGATAATGGCCACATTTTACTGAGAATAAAATAGGACAATACAGTTGAACCTGGCCAAGATATATTCCAAGGGAGCGAGAAAAAAGTTATGTTGTAGTAGACATTTTACGTCTTGAAAACAGGAATTGGGAATTGGAACGGCAGTGGGGGGAGGGATTTCCCACAGGGCCAGCCCGTATGTGGTGGAATCAAGGGTCACCAGCCTGACCACAAGCAATGGTCAAAACTTCACAGCTCCCAAATGCTCTCTAGCCTCTCTGCTGATAATGGCATGCTCAGTTTGTTTTTCTTATGCTTTGCCATCAGTGCTTGTATCTCAAAGGACTACTGTTTAACCAGTTAAAAACAGAATGATTAACTCACTGGAGACGGTTCACGCAGCATTTGTGAGCACCAATATTTTCCTGAGAGGCGGTTCACACACCCCCAGCGAGCACAAGTTTTGCATTTTCTCCTCGGCAAAGTATGCGCGCAAAAGCTGTGTGAACCGTCTATTACTGAGCAGCCGACCTTTGTTTCTTTTCGAGCGAAATTTCACCGGAATTGGCGTTAAATTTTTTGAGTTATCGACCCGGAAGGAAAATAAATCACACTGAGGCCCTAATTTCGTTTCTCTGACATGTCTGTTCTCACAACACTTCGTCAGTACGATGGCAGCACGTTTAGGTTTAGTAAGAGTTTTACGGCATTTGCAACACAATAAGATCATAAGTGCCGAAGATTAGATGTTGCAAGAGAGTAACAAACACAAAAAAAGAAGGAGGAGAGATTGCGACGACAGTTGTTTGTTAGGAAAGAAGGAGCAAACTACACCAGAGCACCCGCCAACCACTCACTTGGCAGCATGAAAAAGCAAACCTTTTTCAAGTGTTTGACGACTTTGACAGTTCAGAAAATTCTGATTATATTTTAGACCACGGGGATCCTGACTTCAATGTAAATGAGAATCAAAGCACTGATTCAGATAGAGAGTGTTCTAGATTTAAAATAGGCTTTCAAATGCAAAATTCTGCTTAGTCTGGAGCCCGGTTTTTTTCACACTGAAGTGGATTAGACAGCTAATACATAAGGATTACCATATTGATTACCTGCTTATTCATGAGTTTGGACTTTTTAAATTCATTTTGAAACACAAAACACCATAAAAGACACACACAAGGTTAAATTTTTGTTGGGGGGGGGAGGGGGGGTGGTTGGTTTACACAAGACATTACGTTAAAAATGTTTGCCGAGCAACAAATTTTAGCACATTTTCAAAAATCATTTCTAAAAACTCTAAAATATATTGCCTTTCTGTTTTTTGTGTCATATTGGGCATGTTTACATCTGTTATGAGTGTAAAAATGGTGGCTATATGTCTTTGGGAAGGGTGTTGTTTCGAAATATTGAAAAAAAACCCCAAAAATACCAGTCTCCAGTGATTGTAGACCCGAAAAAGGCCCAGTCTCCAGTGAGTTAAATGTCTCCTTCGTTTCTACTCTTAACCCAAAACCTCCCTGCACCTGCAGGTAAGAATGATTTGAGGTTTTCCAGGATGGTCTCAGAGCAGCAGGTTGTGGTAAAATTAGCGCATTCACCGCCATTGTCGCACCTGTGTCGGTCAATAGGCAACAACCGCTCCCCGCCAGTCGCGTATTTTCCTCTTTATTTCTACTAATTGCCGACACATATATACGGCAGCGGCATACCCAATTACTAGAGTAGCATCCCTTTGACCACTCAGAGCAATTTCACTTCATTAGAATTATTTCCCTTGAAGTTCTGCCTGTTTTTGGAACGGGAATTCCCTTTGTCCTTTTTCTGGGTTGTTATGAACGTCTGGCAGCTGAAGTCAACCAAAATGCTAACGTAATGCTCATGCCGATGTGAATTGAAAATGGCAAGTAATTTCAGAGATTATAAATCCATTTCATTAAATGAACTCAAATTCAGATGATGAAGTACAAAATAAAGGCAGTGATGGCAGTTTGAGATGAGAGAAAGAGCTAGATCACCTGTTGAAGCAGTAGGCTAGTACTAATACAAGATCTAGTACTACAGTCTAGTGCGACGACTAATGATTCAAGCGGTGACGCTTGAAATAGTGTAGCTCAGGTCATCATAAACTTATCAATTTAGTTTTCTTTGTTTTGTTCTATATTTTGGGGGCGTATTTTTAATTTAGAACAGAAACAGCAACACTCACAAAAACAGCAAAAATATTGTACTGGCTAGTTTGTCCCCCCCCCCAAGTGTTAGTCCTCAAAACTGGTTGTTTTTTTTAAAGTTATAAAACATGAAAAAAATAACATAGAGTCAAAATTCTTTCAGTTCTGTAAAGCTCAACATCTCCTACTGAAACTGATCAATTTTCATAAAATCTAACATAAAAAGGTACAGATGTACAGGATTTCGAAAAAGGTAAAAAAAAAAAAAAGCTGGCAGGCAGCGGCCTGGTATGCGCTAAGGCACCAGCAATGAGTGAATTAATTTGACACCTTTGGCTACCCAGGAAAGTTACTGTGCTGGCGTGCCACTCAAGCATTTTTACAAATAGTGGTGAGAGTTCACACTCACACCACCCTGACCATCTGCACCACTCAGGGTTCACACAGGTGTGGTAACAGCTACCCCAAACCACATCCCTTACCCCTCCCTCACTCTGCGGCTTGCCTGGAAAGAATAGAGCCAGTGGAACCAAACTTGGGAATTTGGTATCAAATTGCAATTGAGCTGGCAAAGCATTTTCTCTTTCCATTTCCGGGTTGAGCAGGTTTCCAAGCTAGATCATACCTATTTCTACCACTATGTGCTCCCTGTCTGAATAATGGCACAGAAACATGCAGGGTTCGGGACTCAGAGGAGCTGAAAGTCATTTCTTTTATATACGACCTGCAAATGTAAAATGGTTACTGCTCCTCAATATTTCAGCATTAATTAAAAAAAACCCCCAACTCTTCCACTATCTTATACAGTGGGACACAAGTCTTATTTCTGTAATTTCTCCTTTCTTAAATATTTCACACCAACATCTTACTTGTTATGAGCATAAAACTGGAAAGCACCAGAATTTTAAAAACTTGCTCTCACCTGCATAGCAAAGTCTGTTGTGAGACATCCTACGGACACAAGACTCCCGGCTTTCACCGTCTCAACACCATAAGACCTTTTGACATCGTTTATATTAGAAGGTGTGATCCAACCTTCATCATCCTCATCTTCTTCCTCCTCCTCCTCCTCTTCATCAACATCATCCGCTGCATCCATTTCTTCTGCTAGAGCCCCACCATCCACATGTTCATTATCTTTGTCACCATCATCATCTTCGTTGTCATCCTGAACTTCATCATCATCCTCATCTTCTTCAGAGTCATCCTCAATCAAATGAGAAGGCAAAGCATCCCCTTCACCGTATCTCTGCAAAGAAAAATATAAAGCAGCAACTGAAGTGCAGAAGAGACAAAAGACAATACAATGTATACCTGTCACAAATACAAAGTCCAGCAATTGCCAAAAGTTTCATAATCTGACAACTAGGAAAGATGGAAAATCAATCAAGAAACAAAATTGTAATAATTGATGCCAAATGGAAACGATACTTTTCAACAACAAGGCTTGGGCAATTAGGCATTCAATTTGTATATATATAATATATCAAACTCTAGAGGATTGTGAAAATGAAGGAAAGACCATTCTTAACATAAACTATTTTCAAGCAAAATTTAAGGAAGTTCATTTATCACATGTTACTATAAGTCAATTAAACAGGCCTAGCAACAGACTATACAGCACCTTTCTTTAGTCTCACCCTTTTAACAACCAAGCCAAATCCACAGGAAGCCAGACAATATTCACAACACTACTGATTGTGACAAAAGCTATAACGTCATCAACAGCACCTCAACGGGTATTAAAAAATATGAAAGGTTGGAAAATAATTAATTGGGTCTGAAGCCACGAGATGCAGATCCCCCCCCCCCCCCAGACATAAACAATAACAATATTATGCTTTTTTATCCAGGATTTATCCTTGTAAAGGCATATAGGCTTCGTTCAAGAAATAAAATGAAGCATCACTATCTGTGTGACTCATGATTTGTTGATCATCACATAAGCATTATGAATATTAATATTACTAAAGTTCAAGAAATTGGCCAAAATGGACATAAATATTAACACATTCAATGCTGTAATCTTTTCCCTGTCAAACTCAATGTCACAGAAAGGATAAAAGTGGTCCAAAAAAATATGATATTCTCTTGCTCACCTTGGATGATATCACTTGATCTACTCCAGGTGTACTAGAGCCCACTGTGTACTCAGGCTGAAAAAGGGGTAGAACATTTTAAAATTTAAATGCAACTGAATGAATTTCACAACATGTTTTTACTTGCGCACGCACACACACACACACACACACAGTGGTTCACTGTATTGAAATTATATCATGATCAAGGCAGCTGTTTCAATTTAAGATAATAATCAAATATTGCTGAAGTCGCTAACTGGCTGCAACCCAATGTTTGACAGAAGATAAAAGAGTACCAAGCGCATCAAACATCTCTACATTAACAAAGTACAATCACTATAACATAGAAATGAAGCCTAATTTTTTTCAAGACTGTGAGATCATTACAAATCAGTATTTTATAACCTCAAACACGATGATATGTCGTTATTTCAATAAAAACACCAAGCGTTGTCTCGGCTGGCGTCGCACCAGCCCTCGCGGCGAGTGGGTCAGCTCTAACTGTAGAGTACTGAGTGCTCCCGGTAGTTTCGCAGAAGGATTCATGCAAAAATAATTCCAAGCCGATGACTGTACTCTTAATAGAAAAAGAACTGTTCTTTCTATTGATACTTTTAAGCCGGCACTTTACACATTTCGTGTTAAAAATGATCTTTGAAAACTTAGACGCTTATTTCAAGGTTTTCCATCCAAACGCCAAAGGCCAAAAATATACCATGACAAACCACGCTCAAAGCTGCATATTTCTCCGCCAATGAAAAGACGATATTTAGTCACCAATCTTTCTGCAAAGCATTCGAATGCATGGTGTCAATTTTGAACAGGGGGACCTCCCATTCCGACCGCGAGGGGCTTCCCTTTTCACGGCGATTCTCCAGCTCCAAATGCTCGGATATATACAAACAACTTATACTATTGTAATGAAGAAAATCGGAACTTTTTCAAAGTATTCAGCATTTGGTGTTTTATAGCAAAAGAGCAAAGAAACAGAGATCTGAATTACCCCCACTTCAAAGAAACCACGCGCTCGGAAGGCTGCGAGTTGGCTTACGTTTCGTGTTTAGGCTACCTAATTATACGTTTGCAATAGCATCATAGACACACCAGAGCACATAAACGCACACACACACCCATACAAACACACCAACACTCATACACACACATAGACCGCCTCGTGGCCTCTTGGTAAGAAGTCCGCTTTGAGAGATCTAGAGGAAGGTTAATTAATCTTTTAAAAGCACTGAAAGATCAACAGACGATAACAGCAAGCAGGGCACGCCCACACAGTCAGCAGTTTACGTAAACAAGCTTGAAGTGAGCCAGAATTTACCGTTTTTACTCTGTTTTACAATCAGAGTTGTTTACACTTCAGACCATTGATGCTCGTAAAGGGGTCAAAATCTAAAAATAGTTGCGAATGAAGAACGTTGAAGCAAAGGTGGCCATGAGGTAATGGCTCTAAAAATAATCTCACACCTACACACTAGCAAGGTCCAAATTCCTTTATCTCGTTACCCAGGCTCATGAACAAGAGCATCTCACCATAAGGTCGGTGCACTCATAAAACAAAAAAACCCATTCACGCAGAGTTACCTCCAGGGTGGGCAGTGCAGTAGACTTGCCAATTTACAGCCGGTGGCTAGAGTTGGGTCAGGTTCACTAAATCAGCGTCCGCGAGTAACGAACTACTCGCTGGCACTACCCGCAAACGAGCGGACGTGTAACGAGCCGCCCACTTGTGAACAGTAGTTCGCTGCTCGTTACACATCGGACTAAGACAACAGTTCATTTAGCGAACGGACGGAGAGACTCCATGCATTTAAGCGGGCGGACTGGGAGCGACTCCTTCCATTGCATACTACCCCCCCCCCCCCCCCCCGAAAAAACCACCCTCCTGCCCACATTGTCGCTAGACGTTCATTTCATGGTGGAAACCCCCCCCCCCCTCAAGGCCTTTGAGAGTTCTTTAAACTTCCCCTTCGCGATAAATTGGAAGGTGCACGGTGTGACCCACACACGAGGTGAAAGGTTACACACATAGTACTACGTCACCAGCCTCTTTCACTCCTTGTGGCACCGCTAGTGGCTTGAAACAATAGGCCTAATTTAAACAGACGATGGGCCTAACCTCCTGTCGAGTATCTTGTCTGCTAGAGTTCGTCCACTCGCCTGCCCGCTCAGTGAATAAAATTGAGGAGAGTGCCCAAGAAACGAACTGACTTGAGGTCCCCTGTCCGTTCCCTGAGAGAGTCAAATTGTGGAGCGCACCGAAAAAACGAACTGTCTGGAGGCCCGCAGTCTGCTAGCATGGCTGTCCGTTACCCGCTCGTTCAGACTGAGTCCGCGGGTTATGAACCCGTCCATCCATTTGCCCCAACTCTACCTGTGGCCTTATCCTTTTCTACTCTTCTAAATTGTAAAGTTTTGTAAACATCAAGCATATGTCATATCATCTCTACAAAAACAAACCTTTTTCAAAGGTTCCTTTCGAATATGGTTGGTGCCATTGAACTGTCTTTCCAAGTCATATGTCAAGGCCAAAACTTTCAAATCTACAGCTGACAAAGAACCGTAGTCTCCTGTCTTTTTGGAAAAGGAAGTCACTGAGGAAGAAATGATAAGCATAAGATTTTCAACTGCAGCTGTATGGCAGTATTATTTAATATTCATTTGTAACCAGTTTTAAAGAGATATCACTCCAATACTATAATAATATGAGCACAAGGTCTAAATGTCTACCATTATTCTCATTACAATGCAACTGTCTTAATCAAAACAACACTCCAGTTGGATATTCATGACATAAACACCAGAAAGTGACCCCTCTGACCCGTCTATAATGTTTCTTTGCTTCACAACAAATTCAAAGAAAGAGCCACGATAATCTTTCTTATTACTGACAACTGCTAGTAAATCAGAACAAAATAGTCCTGAATCATCTTCTAACTAGATCTAAATCTAGGTTTAGAGTAAATCAATAGTAAACACGATCGTCTGATTACTTAGCTTGCTTAGAAGTTCCATAGCACCAGGTAGATAGATCTAGTATAAAAAATTGTGAAAGACCTTAAATCTTAGGCTGAGAGGGTAGATCTAGACATGGATCGATTCATCAAGAAAACCCCCTAAAGGGGACATTCAAATCTTAGGCTTGGAAGGGGGGGGGGGGGGGGGGGTGTCTTGAACCAATGTAATGTTACACTTTTGTGAGCCGAAAAAATAACAAGGAAAATAATTTAAGACAAAATAAAAAAAATAAATAACACAAAAAAAGAAAATTAGCTATGCCGTGGCGATACAGTAGGTCTAGGCCTTTGAGCGGCATGCACGCATTATATGCCATCTCGCACTTTATTAAACAATGGCGGTAGATATCTACATGTAGGCCCTACTATGTAGTCTAATTTTAATCACACTACACTGGTGTGGCTAAAGTGATAAAATGACACCATTAGTTTTTCCGGAAAAGTTCCGCTTGTACCGCATTTAATTATTATGTGTGTATGCATGTTTTTCATGAATACTATGTAATGCACATAGAACAATGATTGTAACACGGATTTGAGCAATATAAATGTCATATTATTATTATTACAGGTCGAATAATGTAATTTTACGGGATTGAGCGGGGGTTAAGTCCCAAAAAAGTATGATTATATTTGAACGGCCCCAAACCACGCTGGTGACACCTGCTCAATGTCAGGGTACACACTGTTTTTGTATGGTACACCAAGCAACCTCCAGGAAGTTTTATTTATTTTGTAGACATTCACATACTTTTAATTTTTATCTAACAAAACTCATGTTGGCTACTTTGATTGCCAAGGGCATATCAACGATATATTGCAATATTTTCATGAATTTTTTTTTTAGCTATACACGTCTTGCAACTTATGCTATTTTCAAATGCAAATTTCTCAGAGGACAGATAGCGCCAGTGTTTAATACATACTCTTTACTAATATGTATAAAACTAAAAATAGCAAACACTGAGCAACCTACAAACACATGCCCCAAATAAAAAATAAAAAACTCAGAATAACAGTTCAAACACAGAATAAAGTTTGGAACTTTAATGAATGGGATGAGGAAGATGTCATACTTTTTCAAATGATAAAAATATAAGCTTGATGAGAGCCGCTTTATAGTATCTGTCGTCATGGATCTCCAACTGGCTGATGAGTCACTCTAAATGACACATAAAACTCTGTAAAAAGTGGTGCTGTTGTTGCTATTAGCTCAAATTCGGTTACAGTATCGACAACGCAAACAATCGCTGAATACAGTATAAATACAGACCAAAAAGCACAGCTTCTGAAGATGGTTCTTTGAAGGTCAGCTCAACTGGCAAAGTCTTGAGCCTCTGTCTTGTTGCTTTATCACAGCTTTCAGCTATCACTTCTGGCACAGTGTACACTTTCTCTCCGATGTCCTGCACAAAGAGAAAGGAAAACATTACAGCAGCAAAAAAATTTTTTTTAAAGGGTTGCAATAAGAGATTTGATGGTGCTCTTTTGTCTCGTTCAGAGTTTTTAACCTCTTCGTTACCTTAGGATGTACCTGGAAAGTCACGCAAATGCATAACTTTTGGCTTTGTGTCGTACCAAATACGTCACGGAAGTTGGCAAGATTTCCAATTCCAGGAAGCATACAAGACATTACATGTACTTCACGCTAGTCATCTGGTTCCATTTCTACTGTATGGAGTTTTAGCCACAAGTACAGTGTGGATTTTGTGCTCAGGAATTTAAAAACATGCATGCATTGATACCACATTTGCTTGTGTTACTTTACTGCTAACCTTAGAAGGGACTGATTTATAAACACAGGTATAGTCTTGCGAACGGCCGCATGCTCTCGCAAAAGGTAAACACCAAAATGACTTTAAAAAGACAGAAATGTTCTTTTACTTTACAACTTTGATTTGCAAGTTTTTCAAGATTATAGAGTAAGTAAGATGGAGAATATGGGGAATGAGGAAAGTGACACTATTGAAGACCTAGGGTCCGAAATATGTAAGGAGAGGGCTAGATCTAGACCGTGAGTCCAATAACAGAGACATGAATGATGAGACTGTTATCCTGGCAAATGAGCAAAACTGAAAATCAGTACCGACAGTAGGAATGCACACACCCTGGCAATGAAAAGGCTAAATGAAGCTACATCATGAAAAAGGGGTCGGACTAGGACTTAAATATCAAGATGCAACACTTAAGCTTTAAAATGTAAATAAGGAGGGGACACTTGAAGGATGAACAGAAAGCAGAAGATTTTGACTAAGAATTACCTGATTTATTTCATGATTGCATATATAGACCTGTCGTTAAAAAGAAAAAGATTGCCCTATTCAAATTATCATCTTATTACATAGAGAGGCTACAGCCAATAAAGAAAAAGCTGTCTTCATGAATTCTGCTAGGAAAAAAAATCTGTTACAATCAGCATTCTACAAAAAATGACTAATGCATTGACGGGGACAATTTTACAAAATGGTATGAAAACAGAATTTACAGCCAGGCATGTATATAAACATAAATTCACAACAGCTCGAACAGTTTGCCATTTCCAGACAGTAATATTCTCTTTGTATTGGTAGCACATTATTCTCGACTTGAATGGTTTGAATGGACAGATGTGTCAAACAGCTTATCTCAAAGAGCCCAATCAAATTTTCACCCTGAAAACTCTCAATATCAAACCAGCTGCGCACATAATGGAAAACATACACACCCATCATTATTGAGAGGATCAGGTTACATGAGCGCCCCCCCCCCCCCCCAACCTTCTCACGAGCTGGCCACTTTTCCCGACCCCTGGACATGGCCAGACACATCATGACACGTCTTGCACATGTCTCCAACATTGTTGGTGTAAAGTAATTAATAATGCTTCTAATTGGGGGTTGAATCCTGAGTTTTCATTCAGTCCGAGTTTGTTGTGTATCTGAGTTTGACTATACTTTAAGCTTCGTTGTTCAAGAAAACTATCTGACCTACTCTCCACCTTCATTTGCCCTCCTTATAATCCTTCATAAGATGGTGAAATGAAAATGGAACTTTTACCCTTGAGTTTAGGTCAACATGACAATGAAGTCACATAGTACCACAAATTGGACAAACTTCTGACAGCTACAAGTTAGGCCGGCATTATTTTACTCCTGGACCCCTCTCATACTCAGTATTTCTAAAGCACTTTTCTTGTTCATTTTTATCTGCTTTACATGAATTTTGTCTTTATATCTACCGCAAATTATTAGCAACTTAGCCCCCAAAACAGTGCATCTTCAGGCGGGTCTAAAAATTTAAAAAATATTGTTTAGGCCTATGATGATTCAAACTGGATCAGTGGAATATTAGATTCAGCATATTGAAGCCTTTTTCTGGACTACTACATTGTACCGTGTGTATGAATGTGCAGTAAAATTGATTACTGATAGGTGCATTCCACTCCATAATTTGCTCTGAGTGAGTGATTGTGTCTTTTACATAAGCTAAATCTCAAACGTCACAAAATACAACAACGGAAAAACAAAAACACATCCCAGTTCAGCTCAAGACACTACAGTTCACTGTCAGAGTTGTCTGAAATCTCATCAAAACTTGAGTCAGACACTGCTCAGCTTGACCATTATGTCCATTTTGTCATGGCTAGTGCAAACACACTCACATCAATAATAACCAAAGCTCAGCAGTGGATAAAAAAGAAGACTGCAGACGTGAGAGAAAGTGCAAGTGTGATGATTACAAAACAAACAAACATGAAAGATCAGTTGGATAAGCTGGTGCTGTGCTTGGTAGAAAGATTTTCTGGCACATCAGAAGATAAAGTTTTGAGGAGTGCAAGGATATTTGACTGGACAAGTGTGCCTGGAACTGACAAAATGGATGAGCTGAAAGAATATGGTGAGACACAGAAGGACGACTTGATAGCTTATTATGAGACTGCTTCAACACCAAGGATGCTCAACACTGAAAATAAAAAAAGAGTGGCTCATGTTTCTCTCCGAAAGTCAGGGCTTACTAGGCCTACCTCTGAATGAGAACAAGACAATTTCAATCTTGAAAAAAGTATGACATTTCCTAGTCCGTCTCATTTGGCTCATATAATCTCTGTTTTGCCATCATCCACAGCCGAGGTAGAAAGGCAGTTTTCTTTGATGAGGCGCATCCTTGGTGACTGGAGGCATTCGCTTTCCAGAGATATGCTTGAAGAGATCATGCTTATATGTCCCAATGGTCCTGGGATCAAAGAATTAAATCCAGAACCCTGCATAGCAAAGTGGCAAGGGATGTGTCTCACAAATAGATGTCCTGATAAAACAGCATTATCCTCTGAAATCATCTTCTCTAGTGATACTTTTTAAAATCACTTCAAGTTTTTTCCCATAAGGGACAAACAGTAAGCCAGTCTTTTTCCATATTGTGTCTGCCAACATATTTTCAATATTCTGATCTAGTCATAAAATCATATGACATGCTGACTGTTTCTAAGGTCTTTTTTTATATAACATACTTTAAGACATATTTTCAAAAATTGTTTTCACGTATCATAGTCATAACCATACTGTTTAACAACAGTTTTTAGTTCATTTTTTTTTCCATACAAGTTCATAAGTTGTTTTCACTCCTCGCTTTTTTTTAATACAAGGTCAAAATGTGTTTTCATTTAACATGATTTGTTTTTATTTTATCACTACACCGCCTGAAACCACCCTGTTTGAATCTCACTTATGATTAATGATAACGTCTTACCCAATTGGTCAAATCATTTACTGTTTTCTATTGTGCCCTATTTCCAACAGTAGTACATTATTCATTTTAATCCAATCAATAAGGGGTAGTCATAAAGGCATTTACGTCAGATGCGACCGTGATCGAAACCTGAGTTAAAACTGTGATTTTTAGTGCTTTTGTTTTGATGAGATTTTACTGTGATTTACTTAGTTTTCATTCATGATTTTACAAAAGTTCCAATAACTTTATACTTTTGTAGACAGTAAGAATAAATTGTATTGTTATAAACGTTGAGATGCACGATTCAGCATTAGCAACTCTAATCAACAAAATGATCACCTATAATTTTTGCCTTGGTGCCCTAGCAAATTGCCTCGGTGCCCTCTGATTTTTAGGCCACATCGAGGCAATTTTTTCCCTCCCTCCAGAACATCTAATTCAAGTCCTGAGATATCAACACAACAATAAAAATAAAAAAGAGAAGATGGAGATATCTGGGACATGTTATGAGAATGCCGAAGACGAGATAGCCCTATCAGTATCAGACATGGCTATGGAAATCAACTGAAAAGAAAAAGCGGGGAAGACCAACTGGAAGTTATAGAAGCACAATAAGGAGGCAATCACCCAGGGCTTCTAAAGATGTCTGAAATTGGAGAAAGTGGCTGCGGATAGACAAGCTTGGCTTCGACTGCTCTCAGCCTTGTCATGTGCCAGATGGTATAGGGAGAGAGTAAGAACATCATTAGCCTCAGAGAGGATAGCAGCTGAGAGGTGTGAAGTTTTGACCACTTGCCTTGTGACAGCTTGCCACATGCAACTAAACGTAGAACGACGCAAACTCTTCTTAGATAAGGCGGCCATCTTGTATGACGTCAGACCAGGATACCCCATCAATCACATGACTACATTTATAAGTAGCCGCATGGCACCAAAGATCATGTAGAGAATCTTTGATGGCATGACGCTTTGGTGCGATGTTTTTCCAGGAATACCGACAATGTGATATTGATATCACATTATGATGATGCGGCTGCTTTGATGATGCTGCTGCTAATCTCTTCTGCGCATTTTTAAAATCGCACCTGGGGGGGGGGGGGGGGGTAATCTTCCGGCATCTTTACCCTGGCAACAATAATTTAAAGACACTCACACACACATATATAAACAATAGCATGATAAGTCGCGAGCAGGGCCGATGGGATTGCAATTATGCAAATGAGCTCTCGTGCGCATCTCTAGCCCTCCATTGTACTTTGCCGGACCAGGAGTAGTCCTAGGCCAAGCCAGCAGAGTTGCGAGCAAATAAGAATAGTGGACCACGTGATTAGATTGACCAATTAGCCTCAAGGTGTCAGGGTCATGGGTCAAAGGGCACAGTGGCACGGTCGTGATGACTGAAAAACCCGGTAAGAGACGTCAGTCGATTGCTGGCAGTTGAAGAGTGAGGATGTAGAAAACTGAGTAGGAGAGTGAGTAGGGGAGCTCGGAAACGAAGAACAGCGGGCCACTAGGCACTAGGGGCGCCACAGCGAAAGTAGTTCCGACCGGTGGTCCGGTAAAGTACAATCTTACCGAATCTAATCTAGATTCTAGATCTAGATCTAGACCTTTTCTACAACTAGATCTAATCTAGATCTTCTAGTAGAATCTAAATCCTCTGACTTTGACGCCTCAACCTAACAACAGGACAGGACAGGCACAGGCAGTCACACTCAGTCAGTCACAGGAGGCAGAAGTCAAGACATAGATTAGATTAGTTTTGACGTCGAAGTAAGACAGATAGAGTAAAGATTACCACCGGTCTTCACGTATACTAAACATTCAGAATACGTACTCGTAAAGGAGCATTACGTATGAAAGCCCCAGCATCAGCGACAACGTGCTGAATCTTCGATGCCATCTTGAAGATGAACGATGGATGGTAAGCATGGGCGAAGTCAAGTCGAGATTCGGAATTCGGCGAATTCGTGGGGTCTGAGTCGGAGATCGAACATTGGGCAGGAGGACGAGTCCGAACACGAATTCCCGAACTAGGGCAGCCAAGGGGAAAATAGATCACGAGGAGCGAAAACATATTTAATTTGTTAAAAACTGTGAATAATTTTACGCAAAACTGCACCCAAGAAACATTTTTGAACGCTCAAAAGTTAGATTTGAATGAATAAAAATGCATAAGTTTGAAAAGTATCATAAAACACGATGTCTTATTTCTATTTTCCCCTCGCTGTGTTCAGAAGGAAGCAGCGAGTTCGAATTGGACCGTCCCACGATTCCATCGACTCAATGAAAGTCACATGAGCTTTTAGAACGCGCTGATTCGCTAGCAGTTACAAATCCCTTCTGCTGGTGGTTATGCCCTAAGAGGCCAAGGTCAAATTTACGCACTACGGTGACGGACGAGCATTGCGTCTCTGATTGCACCAATCACAATTGCAAGCCATCTTCACGTCAAATTCAAATCCCGTGATTATCCCAGCCTCCTTCTTTCTTTGGCTTTCACTACGATCACACACATTTCACTACTTTTCTCCTCTTCATTGTACTATCTACATGTATTTTCTTACGACCTGTCTGGCACTTACATTTACATTGTCACATTTCTCGTCTCTTTTGCATTACTCCATGTTTGTTTTCAACCTTGTATGTTTCATCTTGTCATAATAAATGTTGATTATGATATAAATCTAGATCTAGATCTATTACTGTTATTTTTTATAGACTTCTGTCTTGCTGACTGTTGCTTTGATTTGCATGGTCTGACTTTAGAGTTCGAGACTGCGGGATTTTATGCTTTGATTTTTATTATGACCTGTTTGCATCCATTATCCTCGCACATGAATGCGGCTGTACTGTCAACGAGGGGCAAATAACTTTCAAAACAAACTGGTGCCCTCCCCTGATGTCAATGAAAACATTGCCTGCCTCAATCCCGACCTCTGTGACCTCTTCCCTGCTCCTTCCCCCTCCCCCCTCCCCGCCCCCTTTGTCTACACTGGTCCGTGGAGTCGGGATTCTCTACAGCGTGTTCGACTCGACGGATGTAGGGAGAACGACTTGACTTGACACGAATCCCACCGAATTGACCTTGCCTCTCCTCAAATTTGATTGGCTGCTATCTTGACCTGAATTCGAATTCGGAGTCGAAGTCGACGAATTCGCGCCCAAAAATGTTCGGAGTCGAAAGTTCGGAAGTTCTCGGAGTCGGCCCACCCTTAATGGATGGTGAAATGAAAGCGGAAGTAATGAGAGAATCTTATCTGTAGAAATCCAATGTTATTGGTAACAAAGGAACTCTTTACGATCAATGTTTAAAAAGATATGCAAAATTATTGTTGAAATAGTACTCGCACAGTTGTTCAAATATACTTACTGTAACCGCTATAGGTTACCTGATTTTTACAAGGCCTAATAAATCTAGAAGCCCAATTAATTAGTAGGCCTACGATTTTTTTTTTAAAATTCGCAATTTCTTAATCTATGGTATTAGTTGTGTGCTCGTGATAATTAATTTTGTCAAATACTCAAACCCTAAATGTTGAGAAAAGCAAGAAAAGATACGTAACGTACATATAGGGGCTACGGTACAAAGACTATGTATTCTGCACCCGGAGTTTTTATGTTTTAGGGCTGCAAATAAAGAAACGCTTGAAAAAAAAATAGATGTACTCATCGATAGAGCTAAGTAGTAAGAGTATTCGTAGATGTAATTAATGAGGGACAATTGCGCAGCCCAACCTATGGACAAGAGCAAGCAACCGGCGGTCTAGCATTTTTTCTCTCTGTCAACACTTGAGAACATACTGCAGACTTTAATTCACATTCCATGAAATCGGAAATGGAAATTACTTATAATTACCCAACAAGTGGTATCTAAATCGGGACAACTGGACGTAGAGAAAAATTTTATAGAAAAGTCCAACAAACTCGAATCGAACTATAATAACTAGATCTATGTTAACGAACTATTCAACGTCAAAACCCTTGACTTTCGAATCTAATGCTGTTCGAATATTATATTATATTACGCGCGGTGACCGTAGTGGACTCGCCGTCATCCTTTAGAATAAACATTAACCCACTTTAAAAGAAGCAAAGAAACAAAATAAAAAATCCTCTGAACAAATTAAAAAAAAAATCAAACAAACAATATATACCAACCAAGACAAAATTATCAGTAAATTAGTTAATAATTTGAACGTCCTTCTCATGTCTCAAAAAATGCAAGGTCTCTGCGTCTATAAAAAGATCAAACTTTTTCTATTTTTTCTACCATTCTCATTTTTAAGACCCATACAGAATATTTGTGTGAGCCTACGTGTGTGACTGTGTGATCGTGTGCACGGGCGCGCTTATGAGTGTGTGTGTGTGTGTGTGTGTGTGTGTGTGTGTGTGTGTGTGTGTATGTCTGTGTGTGTGTGTGTGTGTATGTGTGTGTGTGTGAGAGAGAGAGAGAGAGAGAGAGTGTGTGTGTGTGTCGTTTTTTTTTTCTCAAATGTCCTCTGCCGCGCTGCTTCGAATGCTGTCAATAATTTGTCAATGTTTCAAACATAGACTCTATATTACCCTTGGCTTCTTTGTTATGCTTTAGGCAAGATATTGCCACAGGTCCACGCACCCTTTAAACAATTTTATCCCCCACCCTGTGGTAAACAACCATTAGAAAAAGGGAAAAAATATTCGTAAACATTAGCCTGCATTGTTGCAGCATTTCATCGCCAAATTCGTGCCATTGGGAAATTACTATTGGAACGATGATTGTGAATGGATTCTGAATGCATTGATGCTTTGGCAGTTCATGTATTCATCACACGGAACCCGACAAAATGGTGGGTGTTTCCCCTGGTCTTGTGATCCTTGGATTAATGTGATTGAAAATAGACTGGCAGTTAAAATTATTTTGCACAAATTTAAAATGTTTTGCTGTTATGGACCGAAATCAGTGTTATATAGAGTCTAGTTGTTTGATTTGGAACGTTTCAGATCAGAGTACAGCAATTTTACCAAGTGAATCATGTTGTGGTGTTGTCGGTGTTTCTCCCCCACCCCTGTCCTGGCCCTGGGGCCTGTGGGCTTGATTTACACACAGACTAGGCTATACACTGTTGTAGTATAGTAACCTAGAAGATGTTGAAGTGTACTGTAGTTGTAGTACTAAGAAGTGTAGTGATGGAGTGTAGATCTAGATCTAGATCTAGATCATGTAGTAAGTCGAAGTGACTATTCATTCGGACTCAAGTCCGAATAGAGAAAAATTATATTCGGCATTCGGACTCTGAATTGAGTCCAGCATGACGTCCGTTCCGACTTCCGATCCGTGTGTGAAGGTGGTGGGGCTGGCCTAGGGAAGTATGATGGAGAAAGAAAAAGTTTTTAGTAAGAGAAAGAGAGAGGAAAAGTAAGAGGGGAGGGGGGGGGGGGGGCGTCTTATAATAAGGACTGATTATGAATTTTATGTTTTGATCCCTTTGTAGTCGTGAAACACAGTGTAATAGCCTACAAATAGTTTAAAGTCCGAATAGCAACGGGAGACTATTTGGACTCGAGTATAGACCTTCTTACGGTACAACCGGCGCACGCGCACTGGAAATTGAGTCAGAATAGCCTCCAGCGGCTGTTCGGAATTGAGTCAGAATAGCCTCCAGCGGCTGTTCGGAATCGAGTCCGAATAGCCTCTTCGTATTCTCACCCGGATGTGAATAACCACTTCCAATTCCAAAATGTTATAAACACCCTGGAAACCTTGTAACCAATCAGTAGATCAGCAAGTGTGAAATTTTATCAAGCGAAACACATCGATACGGATACGTCAAGCCACTGACCCAACATGTCGTCCATGCAGTATTTCCAAAGATTCTCTCCTCTATACCATCTTTGGTATCTCCATGGCCTTCAAAAAATAGTCTGTGGGTATCCCATAGATGACATCACATTACTAAAATTAGCCGCCAATCAGGCAGGTGGGTCGTTCTACGTTTAGCTGCATATATATGTGTGTTGAGCAGTATACACTAGATCCTTCCTTTAGTTGTAGACTTTTAATAGTAGGTTCAACACCCCTTGCCTTGCAAAAATAAAGGTTAATAAGCTGTGCAGGTGTGAGGCTGTATGGGTAGCTCATTCATATACATATAGTAGTTTTATAGCCTGATGCTCTCAATTCTCAACTCTAGATAATGATGGGCATGTTTAGTTTTCCACTGTGTGCGAAAGATGATTTCTGATTTGATTTCGAGACAGTTAATCGTAAAGTTATATTGGGACTAATCCAGTTTTGGCCCCAAAGATTAATATACTACCCCACTATCTGACAAGGAAGTTGCTATTTTAACCCCAGGTGAGATAAAAATACGATCGACCTCTCATCCCAGATGAGACTTGCCAGTGTTGGCTATTCTCACCCGGTGCGAAACAAGACCTGTTTTTCTTAATTTCTGAATGCTGTCTATCGGTGTGAGTGAATGATCAAATTGACAAAAACAGTGAAAAAAAATGATGCTATAGAGCACAAAAGTTAGATGCTACGGCTATTTCACTTTTATTGAATGGAGCCGAACTACGCCGGTCGCCATTTTGTATGCCCGGAAGTTCTCGCTACTCCTTCTCTTCCTTTCTCTCTCTCTTTCCCTTTCTCTTTCTCCCCCCCCCCCCCCATGCATCTTTCTCACTGTCCGCAGACAAAATTGCATGATTTCAAAACGAGCGCTGGTATGTTTGTTTAAACTGGTATCATAGTGAACGCACACTGGGTGAGAATAGTCAGAAGGTCTCATCCCGGGTGAGAGGCCTACAACTACAACTGCGCTATTCTCACCCCCGGCTGAGAATAAAGGTGGCCAATCCTGCCTCTACCCCCAGCCCTAACCCATAAATATAAAGTTGCTTTTTATTTTTCCTACTCGATTATTACTATTGGGGCCAAAACTGGAGATTGCCTCAAATTTGATCAGGCTTGTGGAGACAGTTTTTAAATTTTATTTTTGGTAAGTGTTTACGGCGCTCGCAACTGCATGAGGTCATATGAGCGCGCGGGACACATTTAACTTTTTCAGTTGGTAGGGAATTTTGAATTTTGCATAGGTGGCAGCCGAAACCTACTCTTATAGATTTTAGACCTCCTGAAGTGACTATCTTTAACGTGCGCAACTTGCACACAAGACCTCCAAGATTTTTCGCCAGAGAACGCTAGGTGTAGATCTTTCCTACCAGAAGAAATCAGGGGTGTGGCTGAAAGACAAGAGTAAGAAGGAGTCAAGGAGTAGCAGTAGAAAGGCTAGAAAGAGTCAGGAGCCCAGAGGAGGTCGTAGAGGGGGTGGGGGCAGGAAGAGGAGACAAAAGCAGATAACAGAACATTGCTAGAGAGCGGGAAAGGAGGTGAAAGGAGACATTTTTGGAGAAGAAATTTTTTTTTTTCAGTCGCTACCCGGATTCGAACCCGGGACCTTTGAATGAGAGTCCAACACCTTTACCTGGTGTTTTTATTTTTGAATGAGCTGACTGTCAATGTAAGTTGAGGACCTGGATCACATGTAAAAATGGTGGAGAGTTATTTAACATAATGAGAGGTAGCCATGTGATTGACAGTAGGGTAAGTAGTAAAAATTTCTCAAAGTTGGCCATGTTATTTTCGTAGCAGTTTAAGTGTTTTTAGTGATGATGTTCATTTGAATCATAGATGCATGCAGAAATCTACACGGTTTAGAAACTGTGTTTGTCTCTCACTATTTGTGCTAACATTTTATTGCAATTCTGACCCACAAGACTAAAGTTGGTATCATAGTACTCCTTTGTTTTTCATTAATTTTTACTGTTTTTCCTCCCGTACACCAGCCGAGCACACCTCAGTTGTCACCGCAGGAGGAGCAGGAGAAGTTGCTGGAGGAGGCTCTTGGTGTAGTGAAGACACAGGCATTTCAGATGAAAAGATGTCTGGTGAGTGAATTTACTTCAGACAGATCGTGGCTTGGAATTTGGAGCCCGGTCTATACTTTGCATTTATTAGATATATTGTGGACTGGTTTCTTCTATTTGTTGCACGAGGAAAATCCTGTGGAAGAATTGGGCTCGATTTAGTCCGCATATTTTTCCTTAAAATCTTTTCATGGGAAACTTAGCCTATCTATAATAGACTTACAAAGATAATGATGATCTGATATTTTAATGTGTGGTTCAGTGAGGGTACTTAATTTCTGTTGACATTTATTATTTTCAGGACAAAGGTCGGTTGATGGATGGTCTAAAGCATGCTTCCACAATGTTGGGAGAGCTAAGAACATCTCTGCTGTCTCCTAAGAGCTACTATGAATGCTGTATCCTTTATTTGAAATAGAATGGATAACATTTATATTCCATTTTTTGTTTATCTCCATGGAGAAATTTCGTTGACACGTACATACACAAACACACACACACACAAACACACACACCCACACACACATGCACACGCACACACACACAAACACTCGTATACACACACACACACACAATTTGTAGTCTTTATTGATTTGTTGAATACTGCAAATGTGTTGAAAAATGATAGTCCTGTCAAAACATGTGCATTGGTTTTTGATTTTGCTACATCAAAACTGACTTCCACTTTGGACATAAATCATGTCTGTCATTGGGCAAGAACTATAAAAATGAACTGACTGTGAATAACGTAGAAAGCATAATATTATGCTGTTGTTGCCTGAGTAAACTTAGGATTCTAGAGGTTGCTTAAATAAGCATCCTACATCTTGTTCTTTGGACCCTGTGACTCTTGTTTCTTTTATTACTTTGTCTATGACTTTAATTTTGTTTTGGATTTTGTTCCTCTTGATTTGCAAACGGATGTTAACATCATGTAGTGTGCTGTGTGCTGTGTGCTGTATTTTTTTAACCAACACCAGACATGGCCATCTCAGATGAGCTGCGTCACCTGGAGATGTACCTTGTTGATGAGTTTCAGAAAGGACGCAAGGTCGCTGATCTTTATGAGCTTGTGCAGTATGCTGGCAATATTGTGCCTCGCCTGTGAGTGTGTTATATTTTTTTGCAGCTTAAAATTGATACAGAAGTAGTAAATGGGCAGTTAATGTTTTTTGGTCAGGGCATTAATGTCAAGCAGCTTTGCGGGCCAAGGGCTTCTGTGAGGCTTTTAAGATGTATGTTATCTGTTGTGTATGGGGAGTGTTGATTCTTTGCATATAAATGAACAGAAATGTTCTAATTTTCCATACTTAAGATGGTTGTGGTTACCACTCAAGAGTTGCTTGATCAGCAGGAAGGCTCTTACATGTGTCTACCTTTGATTACAAACATGTGGATACTTACTAAGGTATCGTATCCAAACAAAAAGTATCCCTGTGCCACAAGTTTGTCTGTTGAATGCATATGTCTGCTAAAGATATATTGTGACCACATCATTCCCCTACCATATGTCTGGTTCAAAGATATGTACCAACCAAAGCTGTTAAAGTACTTTTAAAAAGGTACTTTAGTACAAATTTAAGTACAATGTAAAAAAGTTTACTTAAGTACATTTTAAGTACTTTCCTGTAAAATGTACTTGAGTACAAGTACTTTTTAAAAGAGTACTTATGATTACATTTTGAGTACTTTCTGCTAATATGCTAAATCACTTCAGTGCAAATATGCAAAACATCATATTGAATAACAGATCCAGTATATTTGACAAATTAGACCATTTATTACTAAAAATGTATACAGTTTACAAAGCATTTGAATATATACACTGAACATATGTGTAAATGGTACATAACATTGAAAAAACCCCAACACCCTCTGCATCTATTTTTAAAAACACGAAAAATATGTCACACTTCAGGAAAGCTTAAGAAATATAGAATCTATTGGCTAGGTCTGAAAGACCGTCTAATTCCCTTTCTATTGGTATGTAATATGTCTATCAGAAACAGATAGATTATTGCAGGAGGCTCGAGAGCAAAAAGTCAAGATATGAAATTTCCAGATTCTAGGGCAATAACTAGGAATTGAGGGATGTACTAGAATGGCTTTCATTTCTTTATTTTCCTACAGAATGGTGTATCTTTGACACATAATATGCAGAACTGAATGCACTTTTCCATGAAATAATTGTAAACTCTAAATTCTCACTTTTTTCCCCATTCTTTGTGACTGTAGGAAAAGGGTGATTTCTGTTTTTATTTCTATTTTTAGAAACAAGAAAAAAAGGTCTCACTTCAAGACAGCTTGACAAAAATAAAATCTATTGGCTACGTCTGAAAGACCGTCCAATTCCCTTCCCATTGATATATTATAATATGTCTATCTGGAGTAGATAGATTATTGCATGAGGCTTGAGGGTATGGAGGACCCCTGAAACATAAATAAAAAGCCAAAATAGGCAAAACTGCTGGGAGCAATGCAAAAGTTACTTTTTTTAAAAAGTTAAAAAGAAATTTAGGTAGCCTAAAAAATTGTTAGATCTACATTGAGAACTCAGTTTCAGTTGATTATAGTGGTAAGTGAAGACATTGTGGTCTGCTGTAATTGCAAGCAAATTCGCAAAACATCATTGTACTTGTACTATAGTGCAGTCAAAAATTCGTGGCTCAACTTATTGTCAAATATCTCCTCAACTATCGAACATAGCTTCTCCTATTTTTGCCCAATGACTTGTATTAATTTGTCTTAACAGATCTACATTTTTGTAAACACCTGCTAGCTGTATTCTAGAAAATTCCTTAATAAATACATGTAGTAATAAAAAATCCAAGTGGGTGGTTGCTACAGATTTTTAAATGTTTACATCTGAGGCAATATTACTTTTAATAACAAGTCTGTCATGTTTTTCTAATCGGGACATTATGCTTATTGAACACATGTTTTGAGAACCATTAGTGCAAAAAATGTGTTCTCTATAAAATTAATTTCTTGTAACACGTTTTTCCACAAAAAATTGTCATTGATGAGCTGTGACATAGGCCATATGCGTAATCAAAATGTGTGAGAAGCGGTAAGTGCTGGGAACAATCCCATTTTACGTGTGACAGATATTTGAAGTATTTTATATAAATTTATGAAGAAAAGTTTTTAAATCGAGCCTCAATTGTTCTGGAAAAATTTGATCAAGTTAAGACAAATTGATAAAAACTGCTGTCCAAAGTATGGATGACATTGATGAACCTGTTAAAGAGATATTTGAGAATAAGTTGCTTCACGAATTTTTTGACCGCACTGTAGGGAATGCACCCTTTTGGTAAGGCTAGGCCTAGGGACTGGGGAAAAGAAAGAAAACACGACAACACTAGGCCAGATTTTGGTCACACTATGTGGCCCGCTGCGCCCACAGCAAACCAGAATAGTTTCATGGAGTCTAGTGAGTGTAGTGTAACCAAAGATTCTCTTCTACCAGTAGAGAGTCTTTGGTGTAACAAGCCAATGGCAACGTATTACTAAAGACCAAAGGGGCGTGCGTTTAATTTGCTTCAGGGCCACAAAAACAAGGGCTGTTTCTCTAAATAAGCTGAACTCTGCAAAAAATAACGAAGTCGAAAATCAATGCGAAATTCTTTCTGTTTGCCGGCACTTACCCTTTCATTAAGCCTCAAAAGTACTCAAAATGTCCTTAAAAAATACTCAAAAGTACTTTTATAGAAAGTATCGAAGTAGAGTAAAGTACTGGTTCTCAAAAATGTACCAGAGTACAGTAAAAGTACCGAAAATTGTAACGTAAGTACCAGTACCGGAGTTACAACAAGCCCTGGTACCAGCATTGTTTAACATAATATGGTATGTTAAGTTTTTGAAATGGCTCTGTGAACCCGTGGCATATTCCTTAATGTGAACGATGGAGCATGGCCAATGAAATCTCAAATCTGCACTGAATTGACCACTTTGAGAATCTTTTTCTGACACTGTTAATATACTTTAGTGTCAGTTGTTGTGATGGACATGTGGTCACAACATAGTTTGTAGAGTTAAGTTAGAGAGCATTTTGGAAAAATACAGATGTTGCGGAGGATTACAAACATTCAATTTGTGGGACTGAAATCTATGCAATTTGCATTACAGAAGTCTGCAACTTTTACAGATGAAAATGAAAAAAAAAAAATGCTGGGCATGCCAAGGAGGTGCTTCCCCTGAAATGTGATACATCTAAGACTAGATTGTGTGTAGATGTCTACAATAGCTCGTCATTTTGTTCATTTTAAAACAGGTATCTACTGATTACAGTTGGCACAGTATACATAAAATCCAATGAATTGTCACGGAAAGACATTCTGAAGGACTTGGTCGAAATGTGCAGAGGTGTGCAGCATCCGTTGCGTGGGCTCTTTTTGCGCAACTATCTCCTGCAGTGTACTAAGAATGTTCTGCCCGACTCCCATGAAGATCAAAGGTATGTTGCAAAGTCAGAAATGAGGGTTTTTCTGTAGATAAACCTTCTCGCAGCGGGCTTTGAAATTACTCGTTGTCTTATTTTGTTCTTATTCTTGAAAGAAACCAAAAGTTTAGAAGATCATCATCCTAGAATGTTCAATGTCACCCTATTAAGTTTTTTTTTTTTTAAACCAATGATTGACAGTGCAAGTGCAAAATTAGAAAAATATTATATATAGATATATATCTACAAATTTTGCTTGTGTTCAAAGGAACAGGATATTCTAAATTTTTTATTTTATAGTTACTTTTTGTTTTAACTTGATATCCTTTCATGTTGATATTAATGCGTTTTGCTTTAGACTGTCTAACATCAAATCAGCAATTGTTATTCAACTCCTACTTGACTTTAAAGCAGAGGCAGCGAGAGAAGCAAGAAAATAAAAACAGTCAAATCTTGACATTGGCCCAACAAACCACAAGTGCTCTGTTTAAGATTATTCTCAAACAGAATAGCCCTTTAAGTGAAGCCATAAGAAGGCATTAACCGACTAACAGCCTGTTTAAGAAGATAAGCACACTACTTTAAGAATAAGAAATACGTTGCTATCTGTGGTGAATTGTGGCGTCTGTGGTCATTACAAATTGCTTGTGATTCTTTCCTTTATTTTACTCTCTTTACCATGCTCATTTCATGATGGACGAACTATTAGGATTATTATTATTATTGCTCGACTGTAAGGCATTGCAGCAAAAAGATATTTGTACGTGCATTTTATGATCAGAAAGAATAAAACTGGAAGAATTATTTATAGAATAAGGTTCCGTTCAAACTGCTGGCAATATGTACTGGACATCTTTGAAAGAAATTAAGTATCATCTTTTATTATTGAACTATATAATTTAGTGAATAAGTTATTCAGAAACAAATTAGGGGCAGTGTTGGCAATGAAGTATGAACTGTATTCAAAGAACTTGCAACATGTTTCAATGTACAAAATATTTATAACTCATGCTTTTAGCCGGTGGAAGTGGAGGATCTACTGGTATGAACAACTTCTCGTTATGCATTTTTGAAGTTTTGTATAAACATTTTACTAGTATAAAACATTGTTAAATAACATAATTACCGGTATTTCGCCCCCTTTCTTTTTTGGGGTTGAGATAAATGATATTTGTGGATTGTAACTGTAACATTTTATTTTTCTCACTAATTTTTAATGAAATAACAGTTACTCTAAGCTCTTTTTTTCACGATTTGTTTCTGTATATTAATCAGGATAACAGCTATAATGAGGGAAACAAACATAATGTAATAGGCATTTGCTGTTATGTCAAAAATGGAATTATGGCATAATTATGAGATGAAATTGGGCTGCTTTGATCATATTTCCACCACTTGACAGTGCAGAGTTTGAATAAAGGTAGGGAATGGGATGTGATATATCACAGGAGAGGCGAAGAGATTTTGCTTGGACAGAGGCTGTATTTGGATAATGAAACAAAAGCTCAACTTTTCACTTGAGAATTATCTGGAAAACTGGATATGTTCTGAGATTTAAGTTTGTGCTTAAATCCGCTGAGGTCTCTCATTAGGTTGTTTGTGGATACTTTAATAATGCTTATTTCTCATTTCTTTTTCAGTATAGCTTTCCTTTTTGTGTACTTCCCACGTGATGTACTAGTGTCAGTAGCACATTGAAATTTCCCACTTCACTCATTGCAGATCACCCACTCAATAATCGTAAAATAGTGAATTGGCGCTCATTTGACCTTATGCAATTGCGAGCGCCGTAAAACCCTCTACTATAAATTATTTTTTTTTAAACAGTGAATTACTTTCAAGCTCTCCTGAAAAATGAAGCTAGAAGGGTGAATTTCCCAAAGCATAAGAAATATCTAGCTTTCGGTTTATCAAGTTTTGTGATGAAGACTCAAAATTGATCAAAATTAAAAGAAATTTTGAAGTTCTGATACAATTTATGCACCGTTATAATATTTATACTTGAAATATTTGATCAATGTAATGGTATGATGTTACATTGTATTGTCACAGAAAAAACCTAGCTGACACTGATTCGACTTGACAATTTATTTCTCTTTTGTTTTCAGTGTGGAGGGTATGGGTGAGTCTGGCACCGTGATGGACTCTGTGGATTTCATACAGCTGAACTTTGCGGAGATGAATAAATTGTGGGTGCGCATGCAGCACCAGGGCCACTCCCGCGATAAGGAACGACGGGAGAATGAGCGTAGAGAGCTGCGTATTCTGGTGGGAACAAATTTGGTGCGCCTCAGTCAGCTGGAGTGCATTGATGTGGAGAGATTTAAACAGGTGGGATAGTTTCTGTTTTGAGCAAAATAGGGGACTAGTTGAAATGATTCAGCTTCAGGGGGACTTACCTTGCGGCCTGGACCCAATATTTTCATTGTTTTCAGGCAATTATGCTGTGTCTTACATCCAGGTCTAGATATAGACCATAATACACAATGCATTGAGTGCTCAGCCAGACAAGTGTTGAATGAGCATCATGGTGTAAATTATGTGCTTCTAGTAACTCTGACTTTGAACTGGATTTAAAAGCCAATTTGCCACTGGTGAGCTTTCACAGAGAAAATATGAGGAAGAAACCAATCGTGAGCTGGTACATGGTGTTTGCAATTAAGAATTTTTAAACAACAGGATGCAGCTCTCAACCCCCAAACTGTATATCTGTCTCGCCCACTCAATATCAGTCGTAAGATGCAGTGTGCTATTATCAGCTACGAGGCTCAAAAGGCAAAAACGTGACTTTCCTGGAAATTTTTGTTTTTTGGATCGATTGAAAGTTTGATGTCTTCTACTTCATTTAAGATAAAAATAAACGACTATAATTGACTATAAATGTCAAACCTCTATCTCAATTCTAAGACCCCCATTGCTATGGAACCATGTTGCTTAACTTTGGAGACCATTTTCTCCTTTTCGTGTTTCCTCACCTCGCACAATTAAACATTCTGTATTTTCGTCAAATATGGTCATATTTACATAATTTTTGTTTTAAATTGAAGGGAAAAGGTGATAGTTTTTGAAAATAATGTCAACTCAGTTTTGAAATTTCCTTCGTATGACTGATATTGACCGGCAGGGACACATATGTCGTGGGCCACTGCCGTATATAGACTGTGGCTCCAGCAGCTCTTAGTGTGGTAATGCTGAGTGAGCTCAGTGTGAGTTAGGTGACAGTCTTGCTTCTACTGAAGTCTGATAATAGATTGTTAAAAAATCTGGTGTGAGTTTGTTAGATAGTGATTTAACATCTTGTTACCTGCTTTACTACAGTGGTTAGCTTTCTTTCAACAGCAGTATCCTTGTTATAGAGACAGTTTTCTTTGCTTACTTTTTTTATACAGTTCTGTCTAGTTTGTCTGTAATTTCTGCTGTGAAATATTCTATCTTCTATCCATAAAAAATAAAATTGGAATCTACTTTCTTCTTCCCAGAACGTGTTGCCAGGCGTGTTGGAGCAGGTGGTGAACTGTAAGGATGCCATCGCCCAGGAGTACCTCATGGAATGTATTATTCAGGTCAGCCAGTGCATATATGTTTTAAATTAGAAGACCAGCATTTTGATTTGAACTGCTTGTAACTCTTCATGTACGAAATTGTAGAAAATTTTTTTTGACTCTGCAGATTTTCCTTTTGCTGTATATGTTGAAAACTGCTCTCTGTTATCCAGCAGGATTACTTCTTTATTAAGATGAATTTTGTGCCCATAAACTTATTGATTGTTCAGGCTCTTCTGTTTCTGTCATCTCAAGCCCCATAGCTGCCACTATTCTGCTAAATTTGTGAAACTTCGCTTCATCTAGCTTTTCGCGCTACTTTCCTCCTTTCTCCGCTCGATACTTTTTTCTTTACACGCGAAAAACACCGAACCGGGAGAGAGATGAAAAAGTAGCTTGCGCAGGTCTGCCCGTAGCTTTCTACTTCCATTCTTCTGTGCTTGCCTGGCACTAGTTTCACATTGTTTATTGTGGAGCTACAGTGTCGATCGAGCATCGGGACGATGGCGCGCCGAGTTGTACTTGAAAATGGCGGAAATTCAAGAGAAATTGATGCAGAATGCTAAAATAAAAGGAGCTGGAATGAGAAAGAAGCAGATGGTGTGCGACTTGAAAAGTTTATTAGAAAATTGAACAAGCCACCTGCTGCTCTTTGCGGTAGGCACGATAAAGAAATTGCTCAGTACAGTGGCAAAGGTGTTGCCTCCTTGATCCAATACTGCTCTACAATCTACATGGATGTACAAGTTTAAAGTGAAAGAAATTTTTTTATGAGACACCAGCTAGCAACAAACACTGGATTTCTAGTCACCAAACTTTGTCAAATGCTTGTTAGTCAACTTAATGTCTTGGATGGTTTTTTTCAAATACATTTTAATTCAGTAGCCTATGGTTAACAAATATGAGTTTTCCCTTCCCAAAACATAGGCTCGATGTTCCAATACATTGCCTCTGGATCTCACTGGTGTTACTCCGGCCTTCAGAGAGTGCGCGTATGCCTTCGCAGGAATTTCCTCCTTTTTTAAAATTCCTGAGTGGCAGCTATGAGCCCCCACCCCCTGTTTAATTTCTTCTATTTCTGCCACCTCAACACCCCCCCCCCCCCCACTTTCCTCCCAACTCACTCATACACCAGAGCATGCATGCATACTTAATTTAATTCATCTCAGGACAATATTTGTGAAGATTAAACTGAATAACAGGTCTCTTGAATGTCATCTTCTTGAAAATTGATGTTGATTTGTCTGTTCCTCTGTAATAACTAAACAACTATGAAGAGATTGCAGAATTTCCCAGTATCTTGAACAAATTATGTGATAATATTGCCCAAAGTAGAGTGGGTTTTTTCAGTATAGTCTTGCTCCTTCTTCAGGTTTTCCCGGACGAGTTTCATTTGCAGTCACTAAACTCCTTTCTACGTGCCTGTGCTGAGCTCCACCCCAATGTGAATGTGAAGAACATTATCATTGCCCTGATAGACAGGTGGGGAGTCTAAGACACTTGTTGATTGACATGGTTTCATGTGTGTGTGTGGACTTAAGTTTGTTGGGATTTTTTTACATGTTTTAGTGCGTACGTTTCTGTGCAACATTGTTTTAGTATCTTGATGTTTAGGTGTAGGTGTGTTTCCCTGTTTTGTAAGGGTCACTTAGTTGGGAGTGAAGGAGGTGGAGAAGTTAACATAAATAAACATGTGAGCAAGAAATGATAACTCACAGCTTCGTGATATCTAAGCAGTGTTATTGGTGTTTATGAGAGGAAGGTGGGGTTTAATAATCTGAAGGGAATTTTTTTTTCTTTCTTTTGTTTGAAGTAATGGCTGAATACATTCTCATTTCACTTTTGAATGGTGTCCTCAGGCTGGCTTCTTTTGCTCAGAGTGAGGAGGGCAGTGGAATTCCTCCAGAAATTCAGCTGTTTGATATTTTTTCACAGCAGATTTCTCAGGTCATCCAGGTAGGTAAATCAAATAAACTGCATTTTCAATACTCCCCCCCCCCACCCCAAAAATTTTTTTTAAAAAAATGAACAACAAAGAAACCAAACCTTACAGTATCTATTATGTATCAGAAAGGGATGGCATCAGACGTCCTCTTCTGTGTCTCCAAGACAATTAATAGACAGTAAGATATCACGACACTCCCATTTTGTTTTTTGAGTGAGAGGCTGTGTCCATTCAACACATTGGGTGATGGGTTGTTTATCATCTGCTCTTCCTCCTTCTTTTCACTGTTGGTAATGTCTCAGTCTGCCTCTGTGATGATAATCTTTGGTGAATCAGGGGAAATCATGCGGAAAATTTTCAACGTTTTCTTTTTTCACTTGCTCTCTTCCTCTGTCTGAGATGGGCCCTTATGCTCTTTCCCTTTCCTTTGAGTTTGGTTTTTATCTCGAACTCATTCATAAAAATCTATCTGAAATAAACATGTTTTCCTTAAAAACACTAGATGCAGATTTATATCTTGGCTTATATTTGAAAAAAACCCACACGACTAATTGTTCCTTAAAGCCCCAAACTCTACTGTTTTGTACTAGCCCTGATATGTGATTGCATTCTCCATACCTGATTGCTGGAAGTGTTGAAAGCTAAAGTAAAACCTGTCCTCAAGATGCACCTGACAAAGTTGAAGCTCGTGTGCTTCAAATTGGAACTCGATCGCTGATATTTCTTGCCTGTAGCTGTTTAAATAAGTATTACACTGACAGCTAGTCACTTCTTTAATTTTACACTGTGAGAACATTTAAGGAATGTTTTAGTGGGAAACAGCTTTCCATTTCTGTTTAAACTTGGAATGAGAGCACAGTTTGGGTTCTTTTTTGAGGAGTGTATTTGCAAATTTGCAATTATGGAAACTCACAGCGTAACATGATATTTAATAGAACTGTGTTCGAGGAAGGGTTTAGAGGGGGCAGGGGTGCAAAAAAAATTACTACTGGCTGCCAGACCACTCAGGTAATTTTCTTGAGTATCTCAGTCTTTCTGCTCAGCTTGAGTTGTTCCTGACCGGCAGAGTGGAAGTCTGCCTCTTAAAAGATCTAAATCGTGTTGACAGGGGCATAAAAACTCATGCATACATACATAAAACATTCGCTTGTATACTACTGGATAATGCTGGAGCTACTGTTGAAGCTTTCACTGTTTGTCTTTATTGTAGCAAGTACTTGGAGTCATTGGAATTAATTTGTAGAAGATGTTCAATCTTAGTGAAAATCTCATCAAATTGTGTTGTTTGTTTCAACATCATATGAATAAATTTTCCAAGAAGTGTCTCCTTGGATAGGCGTTTCAATTTCTTTTCATCTATTCTTTTACATCTGTCTTTCACATAACTCTGTTGTGTTGAACAAAAGCTTGAAAGTACACTGAACAAAGATGATGTTACTTCTACGGGGTTTTTTTGTGGTCAGTCTCAAGCTAGGACTGCGACTGGTCAATTATTATCACAGCTAAACTCTTTCAGTTTCAGAGGGGGAAGGCCGGTAAAATGTCAGTGATAAATCAGTGAAAATTTGAAGGAAAAAAATCTGAAATAAAAAATGTGTGCTGCAAGTGTTCATACTGAAAAATTTCACCTCGAATGACTCATTATTGACCTTAAGGTGAATTCTACTGTTAAATTAATACCTTGACCACACTATTTGATGGTAGGCTAGAACAGGGAGCAAGGCCACCCCCAAGAGAAGCAAAGTGACCCCCACCCCCAGCACAGCTTCCCCTGCACGTCTGAGTGTACATGGGGTGAGAGCATGCACAGGAGAATGTATTGTTTTCTCCACCTTTGTGTTAACTTTTTTGTTACCCCTTGGTTTATTTCTTAAAATTCAAGCGGCTTAGTGTGAGCTTGCAGTTTCAGATTGCTCAATAAGCGGTATTGAAGAAGAATGTTTAAGTTTGCTAATTGATAAGAGACTTGCCTAAAATACGATACCACTGTTACCAGTTTCCTGCTCCCCATTTTCATTTACAAAATTTTATATTTATATGTATACAGCTGTCAGGCTCTTTCAACTGTAGTGTATACAATATGCACTATGCTAGGGAGAGAGATTCGTTTTTAAGAACAGTACATTCAGACCTTTATACATTTCGTTTCGCTATTGGTTTTAAAGAGATGGGGAAAAATTGTGTGAATGGTAAAAGATAGCTCTAAAAAATGGTTGGGATTATATTATAAAGTGCAACCACTTGCAGTACTGTGGTCTGAATTGGGCCTTCAGGGTTTAATTTTTTAAAACCATTTAAGAAGTGCAGTAATTCTCTGCCCATGTTTAACATAAGCTGAAGTGCACTGAAGCAAGGATCAGCACATGCCAGAGAAGAAACAAGAGCTGTGGGCTCACAATGAATTGTGGCTTTTTTTTATATTACCCATCAGTCTTTGTTGTTGTTGTTTTCGTTGTACCTGTCTCTGCAACCATCATAGTATTATTATTATTATTTTATAACATTTGCACTACATTTTGTTTTGGTCACTTTCATGGCATATTTCACTCATAATCAAAAGTTGGTGAATCAAAAATTGTTTAAAGAGTGAATAATTTAGAAACTAAACAAATTCAGGGAGGTGACAAATATTAATTTTTAAAGCAGCATTTCCATTTAATGTAGAATCTTGTTGCCATTTTGATCAGAATTATTAATAGAAATCCAAGAGTCAAGAAGGAAACTAAAAAAATCTAACACAGTTGAGTAATTATGAAGAAAGAAATTGGAATTCACAGCCATACAGAGTGGCAGTGTGTGAGGTAAATGGCTCTCACTTATAAAAGATATCATTATAGAAATAAAAATGTGTAATCAGATTCTGATTGCGTTTCTTACTTTGTAATTTTGTCATGGAAATGAGGCATTACTATTCCCCTTAGGTTTGGACTAGTTATTTATCTTTTGATGTTATCTAAGTTACTATGTATAGAGTAATGGTTTTCTTTTTCGTGTGTTTATCTTTATGTAGAGTACTAGTTTCTAGGCATTTTTATTTAGAAAAAATTCTCAGAAAATGTATGTGCCATGCACTCTCATTAGGTTTTTCTCATGTATGAAGATAAGGAAAGGAATGTAGACATGTTATAAGTAAAAGATGCACTCCAAGCAAGAGGTCTTTTAGGTTAGCCCCTTGAGGGAAAGATTAAAGATATTTTACTGATGAGTAGCTTTTTATGGAAGGGAGAAGCTCATGACAGTATTTGGAGAAGTCGTGGTCTAGTTTTGATGGCAAAGAGTACTATTTATATCTTCGGTCCCCCCAGTGTCAGATGCTGAACTTGGCGAGGAAGAAGGACATTTCACCTTGTTTTATTTTATGGTGGTTTTGCTAATTGATTTCCAAGGTAACTTCACCCATTTGGATTTCAGCCTTAAAAGTAAACTTAACTGAACAGTTCATAACTCCCGTAGCTTAGAAGTGATGATCACTATTTTTTGTGTGTGTGTGTAGGGGGGGGGGGGGGGGGTGTTTAGAAAAGCTTTAAAATTGAAACAACGGAACTGCTAAAAATTATCAGTTCAAAAGTAATTATCATACATATTTTGCTCATTTGAAAAACCTGGGACAGTGTAAACCATTTTATAAAGGCTTTTTTTTCTTCTATTGAATGCCCTTTTTTCTGCAACTTTTTATTCACAGAATTTCAGTGTGTACACTACCAAAAACTATGTCTGTTCACTCTGTTGCTAGGCATCTTTATGCTAAATAGCAACGTATTGTGTGCCTTGGAGTTCTGCTTACCAAACTAAGCACTTTGAAAAATTAGCAGTTAGCAAAAAAAGAGTTGAAAAAAACCCCACAACAACCCTGGTTAAAATTATGGTTCCCATAATAGACATGCTGGAAACAGTTACTACTGGAATTAGCAAACTGATATATTTGAGAGGAAGGTGTCTAAAACCTCCCAGTATATATTTTGATCCTACAACGAACGTTACGCGAAATTCTGTTGTTTTTTTTTAGCACTGGTGCAAGCACTCACACTCGCTTATCCATGTTCACACACAAACAGGCACACATACTCACACACACACCGCTCTCCGCTGGTGTCTTTAGTTTAGTGATAAAGTGCTTCACTCTCACATGCAGCAGACCTGAGCTTGCTTCCTGTATTGGGATAATTTTTATCAAGTATATCTTTCTGCAGGGATGTTGTATCCTTCTCAGCCCAGGCTGGCCCTGACAAGCAGGGTTGAAGCAGCCCACCTCCTAAATCATCTAAATAGTGTTGATGGGGGTGTAAAAGCTCTACAGTTACATTTATTACACACCCTCCCCCACCATACACATACACTCTCACACGTTGACACAAATCACAACCATAGGTGTGTATTTAATGGGGCCGCGACTATTTAAACGCAATCACTGAGTGTACTGGATGTGAAGCGGACAGGCAATTCGATCTTGGCCTTCCTCGGTTTCTATGATCTGGCCAAAATTTTTGACAAAGTAAGAAAAGTATTGGTGAGAACAACAGTTGCAAAATCTGAAATACTACACGACAAAGGCAAACAGGGAAAAGGCAATCTGAGCTCAAAGCCGTAAAAAAAATTGAAAATCAAAGTTCAGAACAGCAGAGGATTATAACTGTCAATAGGTAGTCTAAACCCGCTTTATTTGACGAGAAACTCAAAATCACTGATCAACTGAAAGTCCAGTTAGAAATTAAGAAAAGAAAAGTTTGAACCCTTCCAAATGGAACAAATTTCAGTCATTCAAAGTAATAGGGGTCTAAAGGAAAAGCTTTTCCAGTAGCATATTTTACATGATGTTCAAATAAAATCAGGACAAAACAATATGTGTTCTGATAGTGTGAGTAAAGCAGCAAGTTTGAGTCCGAATAGCCACGAAAGGCTATTCAGACTTGAGTCCGAATAGCCACTTTGATTTAAATAGACCAAATAGAATTATGCACTATTGTTTATTGATACGCAACAAAACGTTGAGATACTAAAGCGACACTGTATCGACACTATGTTTGCTGTAACTGAATTCATCCTTTCTTGTTTGCATTCAATGAACTGTTATGTTTTAATAGAACTGCCAAACACAGTTAGGTATTGTGAACTGTTGACCCTCTGAGTCGTTGCTCATTAAGCATACTGGATCTATGCACCTAGGTTTCTCTGGGACAACTGAGATTTACAGAACTACACGCCTAGCTGTTTGCTTGGATCAGTAATGTTGCAGCATAATTTATACTTGTGTGGTTTTATGTACACAGGTGCTTCATGAAAGAGGTGAAGAAAGAAATACTTCCTTAAAATTTTGTGTAGTAGATAATGCATATGATGAGGGCTTTTTGTTTTTGGTTTTATTCGGGGGAGGAGGGGGAGTGGATGGGAAGGGGTTATAGAAATTTAATACACATTGAAATGTCAAGAATATATTTTTCATTGGTATCAGTCAGGTAAGTGGAGGAAGGGAAGGAAAGAGAAATCAAAGTGCAAAAGTTTTTTTAAAAGGGCATAATAGTTCAATGTTGTGGTGTCTCACGAAATGAAAGGCTTAAAAAGAATGGGCTAGAGGGGAGTATATTCATTGGTTCTAACTGCAGTCTGCAGTGACAGGGTGCTTTACAAGCTAATACATTTTGTGATACAATGCTAAACTAGTCTTAAGTATTTCTTCTCAAACACTTTGTGCACTTCTATCTCCCACTCTTAAGCCTTCTTTCTTTGTACCACCAAAGCTTTCTGAAAAGAAATGCAGAAAGATGGGGTCAGCAGATTAGTGTTAGTTTTTTTCCACTTTCAATTTAGATGTCATTTCAATTTCCCCTGTAGTCTTGGTTTAATGATCCTGTGATCTGCTCGAGTCTATAGTTGTTTGCTATGTAGTTTTGTTTAGATTTTGATATGTGACCAGTTGTTCTGGTATGTACCTTCCCCTTTCAGTATCTTTTATTTTATTGTATCGGGCAGGGTTGAAGGGTGAAAGGAAGAGGGGAGAAGCTGATAAAAAAAGGGGGTATCTTCATTAGATCAGACAGGAGGAAGATCGTGTACAGAGGCACTTTTTGAGAGAATATGTTATTTTTCCACAAGTGAAGTAAAGATATTGAAAATTGTTTATTTTGTTAACCCTATCCGTACACCCTGGGGTCATTTTGTACCCCCAGGGTTGTATTCTTCACATTTTAGAATACATCTAGTATACAAAGGTCTCTATGAAACTTTCAGTATTTGAAAAAATCATTTTGACAAACTGCTTTGCAAAGCGTACGGATTGGATTGACGAGTAAATTTCCTCTATGGAAATGGGGGCATAGAGTTCCCCGCGTCGTATGGATACGATAGTAAAACGCCTCGTACGGATTGGGTTACGTAAGGAAAAAACATTGCTGAAAGTACTTTACAGTACAGATGGGCCATATTGACTGGTCTTGATCAAAACAAGCGTGTGTAGATTCTGAAATTTCAAATTAGAATGTTTTAATGATATATTTTTACATGATGCCATATGATGTTTGGGAAAGTAGTAGGCCTTTTTGAGGTAAGATAAAATGAGTGGTTGTGAAATATTTCAGATTTGTAAAAAGCTGTTTGTGAAAATAGTGTTTGTAGTGGGCTGTCTAAGTGTAAACTTGTCCCATCACTAGTACACTCCATAGATGTCAGAGTGTCATCCTTGGTATAAAATTGTCTTGATGTGACTTACAAATGTATCCAGTAGTGATCTGCATATTGCTGCAATTAGTATGAACTTTTTTTTATATTGCAGTCAGTATGCTTTCAAAGTAATCAGAACGTTTAAGCACCTGCAAGTAAAGACTCACCATATATATCTAGTATATTATGACAGTTGCTCTGGAACTTTGTAGTTGAACATGTTATCTAATGTCTTTGGGTGAAATAGTTTGCACAGTTCATTACAAAGCAGTAACAACTATCTCTTCATTGCTCCTGTCATAATTGTCTTGGTATTTATTTTAAAAAATAATGCTGCTAAATATTAGTTTTGTGATAATAAGAGATTAAGTGCTTACAGTCGAACCTGCTTTCACGCAAACCTGTCTTAACGGAATCTCCCCGCTCCTACCTTGATATATTCCTCTTTAATTACCTGTATAAAATTGAAACCTGTCCAACGGGGAAACCGAAAGAAAAATCCGCTCCCTTCTGAGGGTTTTACTCGACTAAGACGGAAAATGCTTTGCCCACTCAGCCCTGATTTGAAACAAAACTTGCAAGTTCGGTTCCGCCAGCTCTAAACTTAACGCCATGCCATCGGGAGAGGAAGGGAAGTAGGGGTGCGATTTGGTGGTAGATGTTACCCCATCTCTATGTATGTGAGCCCTAAGCGATGATGATTTTCAGGGTTCAGGGTGGTGTGGGTGTGAAATCTTACAAGTGCTAGTGGAAGTGCTCGGGTAGCGCGCCACTATCGAAACTTTCCTGGGTAGCCAGAGGTGTGAAATTAATTTGACCAGCGCCAGCCGCCCTGATCCTACGGCCAGCCAAGAAAAGAGTTCATCGAATCGTAGTTACATGGCAGTGAGGGGTGGCATTGGTTGACTGTGTTTGTTACACCGATGGATGGGGCTAAGGGTGGAAGCAAAGGAGATGTTCGAACGTTTCTGTTTGTAATAGTTACATGTAATAGATCAACCAGTGGTCCTATGAAACGCAAGCACTGGTGCTAATTGGATAAGTGTGTCTGACCCATGTCATTATCAGAGAGGATAAATCTAGCTGTTGAGAGGTGTGAAGTTTTGATCACTGCTTGCCGACAGGACAAATGACCCTTGATCCCACCTGCTGGGCTTTTGAAATCCCCTTCAAGGAGCAGTGTTAAAAAGTTGTAATAACAGATTTCAATTTCAAATTTATTTACTGTGTCCCTTCCTGAGTTTGAAATTACAGGTTTGTTTGACCTCATCCGGTTGATGAAAATGTTATCTTCACTTGCGATGGTAGTTTACTGAAGATTTTTGGGATGGATATATATATTATGGAAACTTTTATGGGTACTTGTACACGCTTGGGCATGTATTTTCTGAACCTTACTTTTCCGTCATTTTTATTCCCACCTTATCTACAAAGGGGATTATCTGGTAGCCTGAGTAGGTGCAATACTTTTACAACACTTTAGGTTTTCTTATCTATCGTCTTCTTCTTTTTTCTGTACAATATTGTGTTTTAATGTTTGTGAGTGCTTTTGATTTTAACAAAACTTGTGAGGTTCTTTACTACTGTGAGTTTATTGATGATGTGACTGCCACATTCTGAAAATTGCCTGTCTTGACATCCTTTAGCATAATTTCCAACTGAGAGATTGTAGTATCTGTAGGCCACAATGTATTGAATGAGCTCATAGCATGTCTTTCAGCGTCAACAAGTGGCTTTGAGCTTAGACCTGTTAAGCATGTTTTTAAGACTAAATTTGCACACGGATTGCACTCTTCATCTTCCCTCTCAGAACCGGCCTGACATGCCCCCTGAAGACATCGTGTCACTGCAAGTAGCGCTCATCAACCTGGCTCTCAAGTGCTACCCGGACAAAGTGGATTATGTGGACAAAGTTCTGGAGACCACAGAGGACATCTTTAACCGACTCAATCTGGACCAGTGAGAACATTTTTTATTTAAATATATTTTTTCTTTGATATCGCTTGATCCGATTTGGAAATGCAAACTTGATTCACATATTTTAATGTCCTGAAGTTGTTACTTTTTCTGCTTTCAGTTCGTTCATCATATTGAAAGAATAGTTTTCTTTAAAAAAAACATTTACACGTTTTTTTTATAGCACCTTTGTGCTAGTAGGATATAGGCTTTTTTTCCTTCTAAAAATCATGCTTTTATTTAGGCAACCTTTTCAACCTACTCAACCTGGATAACAGAGAACAAATAGTTTAGTGGAATTTTTTTTCAGACGCCTTGCCACACTTCTTTTCTACCATACTATTATTCTTATGTTTGTCCAATAGACTAGATTTCCAAGTTCAATGCTCTTGACATTTTACTTTTTATATTCACCTTTGAGCTTTTCCTGACATGTCAATCTGAGAATCAGGTGGGTCATGACTTTGACTTATAATCTCAGTGGGTGGTTGGCAGGTGCCCTGGTGTGGTTTGCTCCTCCCTTCCTTTGAAACATCCATCGCCCATATCTATACTCTTTTTCTTTCTGTGTTACTCTCTAGTAACACTATACTAATCTTCGGCTTTTATGTGACCTATTTGTGTTGCAAGTGCTGTAAAACTTACTAAAACTAGACTTATCTCATGACTCTTTCACTGAGCGGTATTTTGTTTCTTTTTTTCCTTCCTCCTCTCACCCGTGCTCTGTGATGTGTGTGTGTGTGTGTCAAGTGTGGAGCACGGCAGCCCTGTGTCAAAGGAGCTGATGCGTCTGATGAAGATTCCTGTGGACACGTACAACAACATCCTCACTGTGCTGCAGTTGCAGCATTATGGCCCTTTGTTTGAGTATTTTGACTACAAAGGCCGGCAGCTCATGAGTTGCCACATCATAAACAATGCATTGGAGAGTGAGACTCCGATCCCAGCTCAAGAAAATGTAAGTGAATTGCTGTGGTTAAGAGTTGAGAAGGATTTATGGAAAAGGTGCTCAGTTATATTAGGATAGAATCTGAGAGATGTACAAGGTCTCAAACTCTGGAAAGGGAGACCCTAATCCCAGTTTAAAAATATAAATGGACTGCAGTAGGTTAGGGGCTGAGAAGGAGAGAAAGCGTTTTCTAGTATTAGTATTATCCTTGAGTTTATGAGAGATATAACTAGGCCTCAAATGTGTGTGCGCCTAAAGAAAGGTACCAAAAGTCTGATTTTAACCATTTTGAGGTAAGGGTTGTACCTTATAGAACATTCAATTCTGAACATAGTGGTTTTCTAATTTTTGAGATATCTCAAGTAGTTTTTTTAGATAGTACACATTTTACGAGGTAGGGTATAAAGATCTAATTTGAGAAAATTAGCTTTTAAGTTTAGAACACATACAAACTTGAAAAAAACGATGATTCAGTTATTTCTAATGTATTTATTCATAGAAAATTCATTTCCAATACAGCATTCAGATGACATCAATATCATAATTTTAGAAATCAATTTTAAAACTTAAAGGGGAAGAGAAAAAGTGCTTCAAGAATAGATTTTACCACCTTTTAAAAGCAGTTTTCATTATCTTTTTAAAATATACCCTACCCTCAAAATAATTCAAAATAAAATATTTAGAAGTCAAATCAATGAAAACTCTTTTAACACATTGTTAAGAAATGGTGGAACTATCATTTTTTTAAATGGAAACACATTTTGGTCCAAAAAGTTATTTTTTGTCTTTTTCAGCCTGTAGCTCAAATTGGTCTGTGGCGACTTTTGGTATCTTCCTTTAGGCACACACACAAACACTGAATGCACTTGTATGGATAGCAACCCAGGCAGGTGGTGTTACAGAAAAAGAACTGACAGATTGGGGAAAAAATTATTATTAAAAAAAAAAATTGGGGGGGGGGGGAGTGCTTTGTAATGGGTGTACTTTGGCTGAGACACAGTTGTATAGTTTGTTGATCTGGGAGGCAGTAACACTGGCAATATTGACGGAAAAGGGTTTAAAACAAGGTGATGAAGTCCATGAGAAGAGGGAAGTTTGGACACGTCATGGTAACCTCAGAGTGGTAACCCTTTCATGAATTAATAAGTCATATCTTTAAAAAATATCAAATTTTTAAATTTCAGTTTTTCCATTTAAAATACTTGAACAAGTGTTTGTCAAATGTAATGAAATCCCTTCTCCATTTTCATGATCAAATAAAGGATGCACCCGATGTGACGGTAAAGACGGAACAAAGTATGGTGTGGTGATGCTATTGAAAGAAATTTCGTCGAAAACCACCATTTTTCAAAATTCAAGTGACTTCATAGCTTGCATGTCAAACCTACCTATTTTTCCAGGTAACATGTGTGCACTCTCTCTGAAGAAGATTTCATGATAAAGGTCAGTTTGAGCTCCCCAGTTGGATCTTACCCGACTTTCAATGCACAATCGGGGTCTCCACTCTCTGTGGAGCGACATTTGGATAGCCGTGATGTCATGTGGGAAAAGGAAAGGTGCTGATAACTTGTCTTAAGAATGGGGTGGGGATGGGGGTCAGAATTTGCATTTACGAATTTCACATTCTGAGGTTGAAAATGTTCTCTGCTTCACAGGTGGAATCGATCCTGAACATCGTGAACTGCCTGGTACAAGATCAGAATGACCAGCCTGATGAGCCTGAAGACCCAGAGGACTTTGCCGAGGAGCAAGGTCTCATGGGACGCTTTATCCATCTTCTCTTCTCCGATGATCCCAACCAGCAATTTTTGGTACTTTGTTTTTCTGTTCTGGATAGGGTTGTTTCCTTATACATTTTTTTACCTTATGCAGTTGCGAGCGCTGTAAAACCTCTTCTAAAACTAAAAAAAATACATTTTTGGTGGTTCTAGATTGGGCTGTTTCCTCATACAAGAACCCAAAAACCCATATATGGGGGGGGTTTGAGGCTTTCAAAAACAATTGTCTCACTGTTCGTGGAGTGCTTTCTTTTCATAGTCTCACTTTTGGGGAACATTAAGATAGGATAAGATATGATGATAAGATAAGATGAACTTTCCTTGTCCAGATCCTGGCACATTGGTTTGGTGTTTCACCACACACGCACTCTCTGACATACAGTAATGAAGTTTAAGCTGAATACATTGTATCAGTAACCTGATGGTATAGGTCTTAGAAAGACAGTACAAGATGATTAAGATGGTAGGAGTTAAATGGATATTGGTAAAAAAATGACCTTCTGTAGCTTTCTTTGTTTAAAATCTGAAGCGTAGGTCATTACTTCTTGTTGATATTTTCCTTTGAGGGGACAGGAGATGTTGTTGTCTGAAAAGATGGAATTCATTTTTCAAGTGCTAGCGATATTGTATAATTCATTGGAATAAGAGAATGTTGATGGTGAAATTTTGCATGCTTCCCTTATTAATGGATTCAGTTTTACTTTAACTTGATGTGCCATGTTTCTGGTCCATGTTATCATACAAAAATTGGTCATACTTTCTTTGCTTGAATGACTGAAAATGGACAGCAATGATCTAGTGTGAACATGCCAGTTCAGTTTGTTGTCTATGGAAACACCCAGATACTTGTAATCTGTCTTTCGCTTGACATTTTTATTTTCCGTTTGAAATGGTTGCAAGGACAATTTCATTTTTTAAAGACGACAATAAGATTGTTGGGTTTATTATTTCTGCATTTATTTAAAAGCAGCTTATGAGCTTCAAACTTGTTATATAGCCCTCTATTATTCCACAAATAAATATGTATTAAAAAGTACCTTTTTTTTATCTCCATACACTTTGGAAATGTACGCACATTATGATTTGCCATTGAATGCTCGATCCCCACTTATGTTCCCTCTTATTTGTTGAGGTAATGTTCAGTATTGGAATGTTTATGAAATGAACTGATCTAAATTTCAAGAGTCCCTGGTGTAAATTATAAGACTTCTACTTGGATGTGAAGTATAGGTTTAACCTTTGAAGTGAAGGTTTCATGCAGCTTTTTGATTGTTTCAGATCCTGAACACAGCAAGAAAACATTTTGGTGCAGGTGGAGACAAGAGGATCAAATATACACTACCACCTATTGTGTTTGCTGCATTCCGTTTGGCATTCCGTTACAAGCAGCTGGAACAAGAGGTAGGTAATCGTTTCGTTTGCCTACAATAATTCCTTTTACTGTTTTTACCCGGCACTGAGTTCTATCTGATTTTTCATCCAGACTGGCGTACATATGAGACATTCTAGATTCTTGGATTTGATCTAAAAGCAAGTTGGGCATTTTCAAATTGAACGACATTATCATAGTCATATTTATTCCCTGGAGTATTTACAAAATCGTTTTTTCTTGGATCTTATGAAGTTTCATGTCTCCACTATCATTATTAACAGAGAAAATAACATTTTACATGCAGTAGCAATAGCACAGATGTAAACAATAGGAGATGACATCAATCTTTACACTGTGCAGGGATATGCCTAATTTTGCAAGCTTTGTCACTTTTCTGCATCATGTAGTCTAGATTATAGTCATACTTCCATTTAAATAATGATGTAAAAGCGTGTCACTTTCATCTGACCGCTGTTAAATCAAGATAAAATGAAATTGCTCTAATTAATTCTCTTAGGTCTCTGTATACGGGTCAAAAAGTGGATGACCAACAGATTCTAAACTCCAATTCATAAAGGTCACTGCCAACTAAGGCTCCGACATATTTTCCTTCACGTGAACCTAAAGCTGGTAAAAAAATAATAGGGGATTTACAGCATACACCTACATCTCTAGAAGTTGACACTTTTTCCTCAACATCACACTTTAATGTTCACCTAAGAATCATGATTCAAGAGACGGGGTGAGTAATAATTGAGACTAACGTGGAGCACGCGGAGACGTCTAGACAGCCCGGGGATGAAATCAACAAGTTTGCACGGAAATATGGGGGCATGGTGGTGTAGCTGTTTCAAAATGAGCAATTTGTTGGCATGGTTACTGTAAATCACTGATTTTAGTGATTCCGTGTATGCATCCAAAGAACAGTTTTTGTTATTGGGCTAAAAGAGAAAAACTTTTTTATTACTGGAACAAGATTTTTTGAAAAAATATTTTTGTTTGGTTGCTGCCCTGCAGAAGTTCCATGCAAAGTCAAGGGCATAGGTAAATTAATAAATGAGCAAGCATTTTTTTCACCCAGACGGACAAAAGTGAACAAGCTATAACTAATGTTTGAGTGTATTTGAGAAATTGTGATGTAACTCACTTCTCTTGGATTACTATTTTACTGTATGTCTCCAGGATGAACATTGGGAGAAGAAGTGTCAAAAGATCTTCCAGTTCTGCCATCAGACGATTGGGGCCCTCATCAAGGCTGAACAAGCAGAGATTCCGCTTCGCCTCTTCCTGCAGGGGGCGCTTGTAGCTGGTCAGATTGGCTTTGAGAACTCTGAAACAGTAGCATATGAGTTCTTGACCCAGGTAATACTTACTGTAGGCCTGAAACAGTTCAATTTTGTTGAAAGATGTTTATGTTATGTCGTATGAACATTTATGTTTTTAAACGTAGACATTTATTATTCTGTTTCGCTCTTTATATTTCAGTCTACTTTACTTTCTTTGGTCTACATGAGTTAATGGTCAGTGTGGATAAGTGTATGGTCAGCTCTTTCTACTTCTTTTTACTTGTTATTATTGTTAAAACTTCTCCCACTCAAAGAATTGGCAGTTATTATCCTCGCTCATTGCAGCTCATTCCTGTTTTGTTTCAAATTCTGTGTAGAAGTGCAACTATTGTTCTTGCTGAGGACTTTATGGTTGTTACTGTTTGTTGAATCGTTTGTGTTTGCTTTTTTGACTTAATGTATTAGTATGTTAGAGTAGGAATATTCTCAGTTCGGATAAAAACCGTAATCTAGGAAGGGTATGAATCAAGTCTTAGCTGTCAGTGTTGCTTCCTAGCATTCTGCGTAATATAAAGGGGATGGTAGTGTTTTATCAAAACTACTTGTAAACAGTAAATCGTATTTGTTTTTATTTTGAGTAAATAATGTGCTATTTTTCTCATGCTCATCATACAATTGTCAAGTTGGTTTGTTAGTTGTAAATTGTTCAGTATGTATCTTCAGTGTGGTGATGATTACAGGGCATCATTGGTTGTTGCTACCCATTTGCCATCTTTAAGGTGTCTGTGTTTGTTTGTATTGTTTTTTCCCCCACCATCAAAAGACTGTCATTTTGTTTATGTACCTCTCTTTGACTTGACCACACAAACTCTTTCTGCAGGCATTTTCCATTTATGAGGAGGAGATCAGCGACAGCAAAGCTCAGCTCTCTGCCATCACACTGGTCATTGGCACCTTGGAACAGATGAGCTGCTTTGGTGAAGAGAACCAGGAGCCTCTACTTACGCAGTGCGCTCTCGCTGCCTCAAAGTTACTAAAAAAACCAGATCAGTGTCGTGGTGTCTCAGTCAGTGCCCATCTCTTTTGGTCAGGAAAATCACAGGCGAAGGGAGGAGAGGTATGTGTTTTTGTGAATGTTTCCTTACAGTTATATATTTAATTAAGTTCTACATAAATGCTGTGCCTCACCATTTATCTCTCCAGGAAGATGTGAAAAAGTTGATAAATTACCGAGGCAGAATGTAGTCCTCTGTCCCTCAAGCGAAAGGTTCAGTTTAACTCTCTGTGACTCGATTGGTTCACTTATTTGTTCCTACTATCTGCGAGGTGCTCAAGCATTATCAGTCCTATATTTTTGTCACTACAGATTGTTCAAGTTCCCTTTTTAAACTCTATAAACCAAATAGATAAAAGTAAATGTTGTCTGTTTGTTGGAGTGTGTGGCTTTCCAATCAGTATTCACCCAAACTTTGCTTATTAAAAAAGTTTACCCAAGGAGGAACAGCCTTCCCGGTGGAGCTGAAGAACGGACCCACAACCTTTCAGTTGCGAGTGTGATGTTGTAATCACTAGGCTAAGTAGACTTTTACTACGGAAACGATAACTTAAAAAAAAAGTGAAATACTTTCATACCCCGTTGGAGAAGACCAAAAACAAATCTTCTGTTTTATTTCTTTCTTTCTGTTCCTGTAGCTCAATGATGCCAAGCGTGTGTCAGACTGCCTGAAGAAAGGAGTGAAGATTGCCAACCAATGCATGGACAGCTCAGCACAAGTGCAGCTCTTTGTAGAAGTCCTGAACCATTACATCTATTTCTATGAAAAAGGCTGTGAACAGGTAAGTTGTTCTCATTGGAGGAAGTTGCTGCTTGATGGACAGTTCTTTTGAGAATATGCAACAATAGAAGGAAGGAACTGTGTGTAATCTACCATGAAACACCCAGCCTTTGAATACTATTAGATATCACAGACTGAAATTTCAAAGTCCTCTGATGTCATAGTTAACTGCACCACCATATAGAATTTATTATTCTGAGGATTTTGATAACAAATTTATACATATTGCTTCATTCTTAATAAAGTTATGAACATCTGATCTGAAGTTGCAGAAAAACGCTGTATTTTTTAAATTGCGAAATGTCTGCACTTTGAGATGTCATAACATTCTTAAATTTGAATGGATATTCACAAAAACTTGTAAACACACACCCATGCACATAGAAAACAAGCCCAATTTTTTTCAGGGATGTCATATAACCAGAAGGTTGAAATTTATTGACGCAAACATGGCTTTTTGACCAAAATGGCAAGAAATACAAGGGGAGGTTGGAAATCATCACTCACGACCACCGGCTTCTCGTCTGCGAGCCGGGCCGCGCCGACGCGAAGGAGAAAGAATTTATACGAAACTGGCCTGATGGTGGCCCTGCTTGCGAGCTGATGGGGAGCGTCCAGTATTTATTTTTGTATAATGGCTGTGTTATTCATGAAGAGGAATGAATGGGCTTTCTGCCGATATATTTCCATAGTCGGTCGGATCACTGGTTCCATAAGAAAACAGCATCAAAAGTTTTCACACACAAATCTCTTCTATTAATTCTTTAAGGACACTCTTTAGAAATATATTACCGCAAAGAGTGTTTTCTCATCTTAAAATATTGACGAATCAGATTGCAGTATTTAATACCGTACGCTCCCCATTTCAGTTCAACCGAGGTCACCCCAAAAATGGATGCACGAAACGCGCGGTCGCTGCAGTGAAAACCTCGATAGTGTTGTCTTTTATCCCTCAAGATTTTGCTTTCAAAAGAATCGTTGATTCAAATAGATAATCCAACTAAAAAGAGGAAAACTCCTCTTTTTTGTGATATATCAAGTGTCTGTGTGTCTGCATGATCACACGCTGTTTTAGGAGGGTAAAAATATGGGTTTTGGTCTCCGTGATCGAGCGCCAGTTTTCGGTGCCTAATACTATAAGGAACAATACCTTTTTAATGGGATCTAGAATTTAAGCTAGTTGTCCATTTGTATTTCAAATCCCTTGAGAATCTTGTTCGTTTCACTTGGATTTATCAAACAGATCACAGTTATTAACACTTATGGGATAAATTCTGGTAGGCCTATTTCTAGTGGTCTTATAAAAGGTAGAGTTGACAGCTATTTTGCCCTCGAAATGTTCATGTTAAGTGAATATTTGTGGAGAAAAATCTAACACTCATATGGCTTCTCCTTCAACAGGAAAGTGTTATACTACCCTTCAGCAGGGCCTAGTCAAGCAAAATACCAGCATGTAAATAAGTTATATGTATATATATATACTTTTGAGAGTGGAGAAGTGTTCAAATGGTTTGGTCTTGAGGAAAGTGTAGTTCTGTATATGCAGGCAGAAAAGTGCTATTTGTTTGTTTTCATCGTAGACCTTTCACGTTTCAGTAACAGGTTCAACCCCTCAAATGGTGGAATAAAACATACGAACAAATGTTTATACTTGGATGGACGTATGACATGTGTGATATTTACTTTGGTGTATTGTAGGGCTGGGCAGGCACAGGTACCAAGTGCTGGAACTCCTGATACTGTTGTAGGCAGTCTCAATATCGGCACCAGGCCTCCAGTACCGGTACGAGATGAGAAGGTGCCAACACCAAATGTTTAGCGCTGTGGGTCAGGTGCTAGAAAGTAATGTTTCTGTTCTTCTTGCCTCCTCAGATTTCAGTGCAAGTCCTTAACCAACTCATCTCAAAGATCCGTGAACTTTTACCAAACCTGGAATCTAACGAGGAGACTGAGCAGATCAACAAACACTTTAAGAACACTTTAGAACATCTCCAACACAAGCTGGACAACCAGGAGACAGCCGGACAGTATGAGGGTCTTGTATTGTAGAGATATATGTGATGCTCCCACTCCCCTTTTCCGTTCATTCGCTCATCATCCTCTTGATGTCATGATCTTTCATCGTTGTATTTTTTTTTTCATTTTCTATACATTGGACATTTTAGGAAAACAATTAATAGAGCTTTCAAATTTTAATTGAATTTGCCAGTATTTATGCATTTGTCATGTAGATTTATGTTTGTATCTACATTTGTCTGTGAAATGTTTTAGTGATCACTGTGAGAAGTTGTATCATGTCATTCCAACGTGATGTGCTGCCTTCAAGTCCATTGTCACTTTCAAGGCGTGGTTAGGCCTTGTTTGTATGATTTATTTAGAGAGTATATGTCACTTCCTTTTATGTGGTTAATTATATCTTTTTCTCTAGGAAGTTGCTTTTTCTTATAGCACAGTTGTAAAGTCTGTACATCTACAGGTTGTGCTTTCATGCCACTTACATAAGAGAAGGGATAGCAATGAATTAGAGAAAGCTGCTGTTTCAGGCAAAATCAGTTATACTGAACATTAAGATGTATAATTTGCTGGTTATTCTGAATACATATTACCACCATAGCTAAATTATTTTAATTTGTTTTCAATAATGTAGTACATGTCTGTCTCTGTACACAGGGATTTTTTTGTTGTTGGAACAAATCAGTGAAGGCTTAAATGCTTTTTTTTTCTGATTTCCCTTTGCTAGAATATGGAGTTACAATGATATAGTCATTTATAGGAATATATATATATATATATATATATATGTATATATATATATAGAAAAAAAAAACATGGTGCAAAACTAGGAATAAAACACAGAGCTGTGGTAATGTTGTTGTCAACTGTCCATCAATGTTTGCAAGATCATCACCTTAGAATTCATTTTCTCAAAACAAAGGAAACATTGTTCAAAATTTTGTTTTTTCCCTTTTAAGAGTGTCCTGTTTCTTAGATTTGATTGTAATTACTAATTAGTGAGTGTATGCACTGTAATGATGGTTCTTTGTTTTATCTTGAAATGCATGCACTTTTCTAAAAAACTGATGACCCTGCCTTTCTGGAGTTTGATACTTGGCTAAATGACAGTATGGTTGTATGTTGTTCCTTTATCTTTATCTAGGAGCACAATCAGTAGGTATGAATTTACTTTTTAAAAGTGGATAACTCTTGAGGCAAAGTGGGACAATGGCACCGTCTTGTATCTTCAGTGTGTAGGGTTCAAGACACTGAACCCTCTGTTGGAAAATGGCCTATAGAATAAATGGAGGTGATTTGCTCAGAGAAAAGTAGGAGTGAAAAATGAGAAAATTGCAATGGCAGTTTTTTGTTGTGCTTACAGCAAAAAATAACTCACATAACTGTGTTTTATTTACCTCTTCCTTGTTCTATCATCACTGCCGATTTCATGCCCATGCAGATTACAGAAAATGTCTAACAAATTGAGATTGGGTGTGTGTGTGTGTGTGTACTACATATCTACATCAGATTGTTAAAAATTGTCTAGATCCCTACTTTTTGCTTTCAGGTTTTGGGATCTGATCGGTCCTGCGTTCATTTTGACTTAATAATAATGAGTTCAGTGAGTTGTCACAAATTCTTACTGTTCCCATTATTTCTTTGCTTTTGATGACAGGATTTTAACCAGGAATAAAATTTTTGAATCATGTGCTTTCTGCATGGTCAAGGTGAAAGATGTCCCATAATGAAAAGGTAACCAAGCTGGCATGTGTTCGGTAGCGTGAAATTTTTTGCTATAGCTCATATATATGAGTGTTAGTTTTTGTATTTGCTTGTCTGATTATAAAACTATGTCTCTGCACTTTTGCCTGTGTATTAAAATATTCTTGCAGATTTTTTAAAGCCTGGGTACAAAATTTCAGTCATTGAAACTGACTCAGTAATTTGCTTCTGGCAAATTTTGATTTGTTACAGTGTTGCAAGGATTGCCAGCCCTCTGTGAAGCTTTGAATTATTTGCTAGACAAGATACAACATTAACAAAAAAGCTCGAGAATATTTTGCATCTCCTTCTGTTCATTTTGAGTATTTTTTCTGACTGCTGACTATGTTTTTATGAAAATGATTCAATCTTATGTCATCTTATAATACTTAAAGTTTTGTATTGTTAACCTTGTTCCAAGTCCAAGGTACTGATAAATTTAGGGCATTGTCACCAGGGAACCTTTAGCTATCAATATATATATCCTTCCTAAATTAGGACAGTGTAGAACAGCAATATGGTTGGTCAACTTATGACGTAGTAATTTTGATTTTTTCCTTGCATTATTTGTGAGATATTTTTGTATACAAATCATTTTATTATGAGAGGACTTGTCTGTTTATTAACAGATAGTGGATGTGTGAGTAATTTACTGTTTTTTATTTGAAGTCCCACACAGCTATGACACCTTGAAGTGGTACTCGTAAGATATTACATTCTCACAATAGTTATATCTTCCCAATCATCAAAATCTGTGCAATTTCTTTGTCCATGCAGTTTTGTGTTGTCTATGAAAATGTGGAAAGTTTCAGACTTGCTGCACACAATCAGACTCAGACTGAATGTTCACGTTGTATTGTAAATATGAAGGATATGAACATTTAATAAAAGAAGAGTCTGTGACAGTTAATGTTGTTAAGCCAGAGCATACTCTCGTAATTGCTGGTCAGGTAAATAGCAACAAACTGTTGACTCTGTGGAACTTGAGCTTTGAAAGGTTTCTGAGTTACTTCTTGTTTGTAATTTATCAATGCAATGACCAGTTTTTGTTTCTTTGTACCCCTAAGAGGTTATTTATAACACTAGAGGTCCCACCACTGATGTCACACATGTCACACATGGGGGTCTTCTTACCCTTGTCGGCTTGGTCGACGTGCCCATTTTCATGAACAATCTGAGTCCCCATGAGCTGTAGTATATCACAACACCACCCTGCCCCCACATTTCAGTTCAAACTTGTAGATTTCTAATAAGACTACCGAGACGCCTCCACATGAGGTTGAAAAGTACTCGCCCGTCAGTTGAACTGCGAATGTCGTGCCCTTGAAGTTCAGCATCCCAGAGTGCACACGCAGCCCCAATTCGTTTACGTGAGGGACGTCACTGCCACAAACTCTAGTTCTAAATATAACCTCTTTGACTGTACCCACAGACATCTTAATACTGACTTTCAAGTTTATATCAGTTGGTAGTACAGTTGTAATATACAGGGTGATTAAAAAAGAATGAACCAATTTCGTTGCGCAATATCTTAATAAGGAAAAGCAATAGAAAACTCCATACGAGTCGTAAGTATTGTACTCCAATCAGCTTTTGTTTCCTGTCTTACATGTGTCCACACTCCAATGTGGCCACCACCAGCAGCACAGACAACATCAATGAAGCAATACAATAAGTCAATTTATAAGAGAATTGATCTCAGACCAGTTTGAGCATATCATTGGCGTTTTTTCTTCACAGAAGATGCAAATTCGATCCGCGAAAGGAAAAGATTTTATCGAGTATCTGTCTTTTTTGCTGGGATGTTGTATCCTTCTTACTCTTAGTCAAGGTCGGCCACGATGGGTACAGTCAAAGCAGCCAGCTTTGATAAAAATTGTGTTAATATAATAAAGACGCAATGTACCTAGTTACTTATTTTCACCCTTCAAAGCATAAATAACCACATCGCTCAAGGTATTCAGACCCCCACCCAATAAATACGACTGTCTTGCCAAGCTATTGGTTTTTTTATAGAAAACGTATAGTTACTGATTTCATGTTTTCAGGATTTTATAACAAAAACTGAACTGAGAACATATAAGGTTCCCCAATACCACTGAATTTACTTATATATATATATGCTTGGAGTTGGAGTGATAGAAACTAATATTCTTCATGTAATTCGAGTAAAGGAAAGAACCTTCTCCTCTGTTCTTTTAACTTAATAAATTGAACTGGGCCATAACAAAATCATGTCTATTCTTCTGGTCAGCATGTACTTGGCCCTCTGACATAGGTAGATGAAAGGTGCCTCAGCTATAAATAATAGTAATAGTAATAGCCTACTTCTTTATTCTCCTGCTAGTCAATTCTTCAGCAGCACAAAATTGCCATTGCCATAAAAAACTATACAGTAGAACACGGCTATAGCGGGACTTTTGGTTTCAGAAGAAAAATCCCGCTGTAGGCTGTAGGCTGTAGGCTGTAGGCTGTAGGCTGTAGGCCACTTCCCGCTACAGGAAAGCAAAGGGGAAATTATCGAAAAATTTATATAATTTCCTTGTCTTTGTAGAACTGGTGATGCCGAAGCGTGCATATGCCAAAGAGCACCAACGATCGCAATTCAATTAATCAGGAATCACACACAAGCTCTCCTCTTCTTTAACTTTTTGGTCTAGTCTAAGGCTACGGCCTATGCGCTCTCATACTCATACTGAGCGTCTAAGCTACGGCACATCATTTTTGGAGTGGCTCACGTAGCGCGTCTACAGCCCCCCAAACCCCTTAACCCCCAGCTAAAGCTTGCTCCATCTCTCCCGCTGCATCCCAGTTTGGCCTTTCCTTGTCCCACTAAACCTGAGCACAGGTAACGGAGTTTACACAGGAAAAAAAACCCAGGGGTTCTGGTGTAGTGGGTGCCACTATAATCATGTTCTACTGTATATATGTAAATATATTGATGAGCTTCTCTTTAATTTTCATAACACCAATACACTAAAACATTCCACCCATCTTATGATGACCCCATGACCTAAAAATAGAAAGAGAGGCAGAGGCAGACAGAGGGAAAAGATACTGGACAAGATGACAACATGGCTAGGAGCAGCAACAACAACAAACACCATTGCTGAAACGCAAGACAGAGTGAAGTGGAGGTCCATAATCGCCTACGCCAGGCGGCAAGGCACCGGATGATGATAATTAGACCACATTAAAAAATATCTTTTCCTCACATGGGCAAAGCCTGAGTCAAAAGGAACGCATCAGCATGCACGTGAGATTGGTTTGATAACTTTTTAAAGTCTTGCATCCAAAAGAGGAGTAAAGCGGGCTTCCAGACCCAAAAAAAATTATGAAAGAGAAACATTCAGAAAGAATTCCTTTCAATTGCCTCTCCACTCCCCCAACAAGTCACAATAGCGACAAAATGAAATAATAAGGCTCAACAGCAGCTCTGGGTCGTTTAAGTGGTAACACAAATTTATTCAAGTCACTGAATACCACAGTCTCAATAAATTAACACCTCGTATTTGGTGAAATCATGGTGAGATGAACATTACAAGAGCTGGTGAGATATGGCCATCATTCTTCGAAATGCACCTTAACACCTTTGAAAAACCAATCCCAACCAATTCTTTTCATCCTTCAAGTGTGTCACCTAAGAGCAATTTGAACAGTCCAAGTGCAATTTGAACAGCCCTACACTACTTAAGTAAAAGTCTACAGAACAAGATAAGAAAACACTGAGCTGCGCTGCATGTGGGACAATATATGCTAGTTACTTAGCAATAGGGAGTCCCTACGTTGAGGCCAAAGAATATGATATGTTAAAAAAAAACAACAGTTACCTGAATTTAAAAATTGACACAGAAAAACAAAAATTTGATCACTCTGTCATACCCATACCAAATTCAAAGCACCTTCTGCCATGGATCATGGCGGTGGACTCAGACAAGGGAACTCTGGACGTACACATTAACTTACACATCTTATTCAAAACCCAAACACGGCAAGACAAGTGGACCAACAAAAACAAACACTTAAGGAACGTGTGCATATCACCATTGACTCATCATGCAAAACAGAGCTGTAAAAGAAAAAAGCGGCTTTATTGTCTGTCTAGTTTTTCCATTCCAACTTGTCGTAGTCCCATTTGGCTGAGACGCCCTGGATGGCTCCCTGGCCTTGGTCAAGCATCCTCTGTAGAGATGCCTCCTGCCACTCACGAGTGATCGTGCTGGGAGGAGGTGGGTACACTGGCAAAGGGGAAAAAAAAACAGCAGAACATAAATCACTGCGGCAACCCCATGTTCCTCATTTTCTTTAATCTACTTCTTCTGTTTCCCGGCAGTCATTATGTCATTTTCAAAGGTCTGAGTCTGAATACTTTGAAGAGGAAGGAAAATTACTTATGCAACACGTGCCCAATTTTGTTTTGCTTTCTTAAAAGCAGTAATAGTAGACAAGTTTAGCTGTCGAATTCAGGGTCTATAGATTTTAGCTTAGATACTTTTAGATTTAGATGGGAATAAAGATGGCACTGTTTCAAATCACTAGTCCTAGTCTCGAACACCTTCCTGTATTCAGTTACCTACCAAATGAGACTCACTTTTCATGTTTTTCATAGGCCTACAATGCTCTTCTCAGCTGTCATTCTTGTACTTTTTACTATCTGTCACTGCAAGTTAATCAAAACCTATAGATACTCTACTAATGAGAAATGAGATCTGCTCTGCAAGATACTTTCTGGTTCTAGATCTATCTAAAAAAATTGATCTAGAATCTAGATCTACATCACAAATTTCAAATTCAGATGAAAGTCAATCTAAAGTTAGCTAGCTTCCTTCTTTCCTACCATCTTTCTTGGGTTACAATGATCAAATATTATTGGGGCTTTTCATAAAGACAGACCTAATCTTCATTAAAACAAACAAATAATAGACATAAATCCATCACATTGTCGGAAAAGAAATGCCAGTTTTGTATTTTGTAACGTTGTTGCTATGAACACTAAGCACCAAAATTTTGTTTTTATAACATGACCTGCTTTTTAGAGTACTTACTACAGCAGAACTCGGATTTAACTCACTACTGGGCCCTTTCACCAGTCACAAGCGTTGAAGACTGGCGTTTTTGGGAGTATATCAATAAACCACCACAACTCTCAGAATTACCCTATTGTAATTATTTTTTGACAGAGTAAAGTAACATTCAAGCTTAATCTAATACAAAAAACTAAAGTTGTCTTAGTCTAATACTTTAATTTGTATAATTTTTTTTTTTTAAATTGGCATGAATTTGATTTTCCGAAAAATTTCCAGAGATGAGACAGATTGAATGAAATTCACAACAACAAAAATAAAAGTTCAAAGTGTTCTGTTTTGATTTGTATGCATGAGTGAGTGTTTGGTGAAAATATAAAAGCTGGTCTGTGCGCTGATTCAGACCCATACACTGAATTACATGGGACAGATGTATGGCACGACATTGTGATTTCGTAGCACACCAGTACTTGTGCTAGATCTAGTCCTAAAACTACGACTCTGGCCGTGTTCGGGTACATATCCAGGATCCTAACTATAAGACACACCATAATAATTTTGAGACACTAGAACTAGTAAGACGTACAGAAGTATTGAAAACGGCGAAATTATGTGATTCTTGTTCATGCGATTTCTTCGACTGTTACTACGACGCAACTGTCGGATTACTATCAGTTGTATAGGTAAAAACATAGCGCGAGTTCCGGTCAGTTCTACCCAGTTGGGGTGACTGTCCTTCACCTTCAATAACGTAAAAACTACCGGCCCCAGAGATACGAAACGAAGTCTAAGTAGCTCAGGCCTGGCCAAACAAGGGCACGAGGCAGGTCACGAAATCCGTGCGTGATTTGTAGAGCGGAAAAAAATATTCCAAAGTTGATCACGCAGGGCTTGAGGGAACCGTCGCGGCGGGGGTCACGCAACTGTTTTGTGAACCGTCTGAAGTGAGTTAACCAAGTCAAGGGGCCTGACCATCAATTTTGTTAAATTTGAGTAATAGCAATGTGAGCAATAAGATGCTTTACAATGTAGGGCATGGCATATGGCAATGTTTGTTTCCACAGACCAGCACACAATTCACCACGTAGGTCTAGATGTCTAGGTTAGTATTTCATTGTCCAGTTGCACGTGCAACTGATGGTCTCTTGGAATAGAGTAGACAAGGTTCATTGGAGGAGAAAAATGCGTGACCCCATACCAGTTAAATGAACCTAGTTGGATCCAAGTTCGTTCATTTGTGCGCACTTTATGTGCCATTTATTTTTATTAATTCTAATTCATTAAAAAAACACGAGATGTCTCCTTTCGTTGAATCCGCGTTCCACTGTATTACTCACGTGAAAGGAAAAGCGCAGACTCAGAAGACTAGATTTTTGCTCAATCAAAAAAAAGTGGTACTTTCTTTTTATTGCAAGTAATATATCTCAAACAGCAGTTGTGACTTACCAACTTTCTTCATGAAGAACATCACCCAGCCTGTAGCTGTGAGACCGAACAAGATGGCTGCTACCATTGCTTTCCACTCACCAGTGGGAGCATTCATCTCAGCATATGTCTGACAGAAGCTGGCTCTGTACACTGAAGCGAAATTTTATTCACGTGAATTTATGTTTTGCACATTGTCAAATGAGTGCGCGGGACAGCAGTTACAAGGATCCAGGAGAACAGTAAAAGGAGGTAAGAGTAATGGGGAGAGGAGCCCAGAACAGGATGTACTGATATTTTTGGTGTAGGAAACACTTTCTTTTCTTATCAGGTATTGTAAACTACAAGCAGCTGGATATTTCCAACTTCAAGAGGGTAAAGAGATCTGTATCTTCCTTTATAGTGTCCTCAACTTTGACAGTTCTATGTCAAGTAGTTGTACAGACAAGATCATAAATGTACCTCTACATTAAATATTTTTTTAAAGCACTATTACAGTGTAGGCCGATTTGTAAATACCAGCTGAACAGATGCGCTAAACCATTCATCTAGTTTTGAAACACTGCATAGCCACTCATCATTTGCATCACGTGCAACATCCTTTCCTTCCCCTAACAACCACCACTGAAGGCCCTACTATGAACCCGGTGTAAGGTAGCTTAAGATCTACATCTCACTCACAAATCCCCCTATCAGAACAAAGTCAACTAAGGTCACTTTTAACTCCTTATCTTGAAAGAGTTATAAAGTACACTTCTATTACATCACTCAGTCTCAGACAATCTTTAAAAAAAACCCAACCAACTTGAAAATGAATAGAAAATAACTGACAAACAGATATCCGAATAAGAACATTATAAAAGTATATTTTTTAATGCTACTTAAGAAACATAAGACACAAACAAAAAAATTCAAATGTACTCCTAGTAGTTTGTGGCAACACCATTTTTCAAAACACCCCTGAAAAAGAATTAGTCCTACAGATTAATTGAGAAAGTATAAAAATCAGTCATTAACCCCTTTCACCTAAAGATGGCCTTTAAGACACAGACTTTCATCCGAGATTACTTTGCTGCAAACTTTTAATGCTATATGTCAGACACAAAAACAACCATCATTTAACTTACATTGCTTCTTTTCATCTAAAGACAAACTCTTCCAGTCTCCCTTCTCCTTTTCTCTGAGCTGCAAAACATCTGGGGTGTCCTCCTTGAAACGAATGGCAGGAGCAGGAAATTCACTCCTGTCCCAGTATGAAGCATTACCATTGTGGCCCCATCCAACAATTTCACGGTTTCCTGAAACAATTTGGAAAAAAAAACCAACCCTGAAGATAGTTTTCAGATTTAGATTTACCATGAGGACTGTCCTATTGTGATTGATACAAAACTAAAAAATACGAACATTTTAAAACTTTTTGAACAATGCAATTGATCAATTAGCCCAGCAGATGGTAAAGGTGTCGAGTAATCTTTACAATAGCATCATTGCTCTGAAATGTACATTTCACTTTCCATCTTTATCCAATCCTACTTTAAAAGTTTGAAAGCATTTAAAATTATGCAATACAAATTGATCGGCTCTTTTACTTGAGACGCTTTAATGGGCTTTTTTCAAGCTGCCATCGAGTTATGCTACTTTCTTATTGGTGGGCTTCACAAAATAGCAAAAAAATGTACATGTGTATCACTAGATGAAGCTCCTTGTTCATTGAAAGAAATTGTAGTGGAAGAACAAAGCAGTAACACTCTCTGACACTGGAAAATCAAGTCTTGGAAGCAGTAGCAGTGATAGCGATAACGGCATAAGAGAAAGATGAGAAGTCGGTTATAACTCCCTGATCTTTATCAAGCGACAGTAATAATAAAAAGGCTGGTTCACCCCTTTTCCTCTCTTTGCAGGGGGTCTAAGAAGATACCAGTTTGTATTCCCCATTGAATTTCCAGCATTTTTATGAATGGCACACATGATTGACGGTATTCTCAAAATAACAAACTCGGGCATATCATGCACAAATCATTATGATTATCGTCCTTTGAAAAAAAATAATCTCACTAAATAGTTTTTTTCAAGTGGGCTCTAGGTCCTACCTATGTATGTAGCACACAAATTCATGAATATTTTCGAAAAATCCTCTGTACTGACCAATATTTCTGGTGTTGAAAAAAAGCAAAACAGGAGCAACAGAAAAGAATTGATAAGCCCATAAGACCAATCATAACACCCTTGAACCACTTGGAATAACTGTACGAGGTCTATCCCAGGAGAAACTTTCCCTGACATAATAACTTCATTCACTTTTTACGCAAATAATGAGAAATTTTATGTCACATTATTTCAACATGTGTACAATCTCTGCAACAATTTTTCATCTCTACGCCACCCATAAATTGTCATCAAGATGCTTTGTTTATTAATATACTTTTTTCGCTTTACTCACGTCATGGCAATTGCAACGGTGAAAGGCTCTTTTTCAAAATATAATGTTTGCGTTGTCATCAAACTCACACGTATGTTAGAGGACTCACTAAAAGAAATGCATGATGGTCTTCTTAGGACACTGGGTAACATTTGCTGTTCAGTATTCAAACAGTAACAAACGGGGTGAGAAAGATGACAGACGGGCGAGTTAATCTTGAAAAGCACTCTGGACAGCCTTTTTCTGAGAGATATGTTTCGCAGGTTCAAGTTTCTGTTAAAGAAGACGGGGGAGGAAAAAAAAAGGAGAAAGAAAGAGATCAGAAGAAGCTGTGTGCAAAAAAAACAAAAAAAAACTTCATAAAATTCTCATGGAAGATCGTTAAGAAAGCAAAGATTTTTGCAAAATAAGTTCCTCATCTGCTGACTGATGAGCAAAAGGAAGATCGAGAGCGCTGCACACGTGGTTTAACCCTCATGGTACGGAAAAAAAGGGACACTTTTTATATATATTAAAGAACCAAAACAGGTGATGAAACATGGGTGTATTCATGGGATCAAGAACTGAAAAGACAATCAGCTGAATGGAGAAACTCAGGATCACCACCACTTCAGAAAGCTCAAAAGTGAGCATGCAAGATCCTTTGAAAGTGATGCATATTAAATATTCATACTTTTTTCTTTTTTTTTTGATCATAAGGGTGTGGTTTTAAATTGGCCGGTTTTCGTTCGCACAACAGTCAATAATGACTATTAGATTACAAGATGGTTCTTAAAACAAAGCTGAGACCACATAATCATAAAAAAGCGGCTGGGTTTGCTTGAGCAAGGTATTGTCTTTTATCATGACACACTGCTCGAAAAGTCACCGGTCTCAACTAGCAATGGGAAATCCTTGAACATGATTTCCTTTATTCTCCAGACTTAGCACCATGTGACCATCAATTCTTCCCAAAAAAGAAAAGAAGGACTACAGGGGCAGTGATTTAAAGATGAGGAAGAAATTGCTTATAGCGCTTCAAACAAAAGCTGTGCAAAGGACTCTGGTCAAAGTGGACATTGTCGTGCATTTAGCCGCTTTCTACACCGGATCAAAAAAGTGCACTGAGATCAAAGATTGTTTTGTAGAACAGAAAGTATGATTTTGAAGGCATATAATATAATTATGTGTGTATTAAATATATCTGTATATATCTGTAAAATAAACATTATTGTTGGATTTAGCAGTACAGGGACACTTTCTTCTGGAATAGAATAGACCCCATTTGTCAAAAAGTTCAGACAAAATGTACACATACATGCTGCACATGGACTTTGTCAAAAGCTGAGAACGCAATTCCAGACATAGAAGAACTTATTAGGTAGCGTAACACGGCGTCGCTGGCACTTGCGGCCTTCCGAGTGCGTGGTTTCGGTGAAATCGGAGTAGTTCAGATTGCTGTTATTTTGCATTTGCTCTTTCGCTACCAAACACCAAATGCTGTACACCTTGTTTAAGTTCAGCTTTTCCTCGTTACAATGGTGTAAGTTGTTTATATGTCCGATTATTAGGAGCTGGAGAATTGCTGAGGAAAGCGAAGCCCCTCGTGGTCGGAATGCGTGGTCGGCCAGTGAAAAAATTGACAGTGTGCATTCAAATGCTTCGCAGAATGATTAAATACCATCTTGTCATTCGTGGAGAACTATAGAGCTTTAAAAAGGACTTTCCCGTATATATTTTTGGCCTTTGGCGTTCAAATGTGACTTGAGCAAATTTGATTATATTTAAAACAACTTCTATTTTCTTAAAAATAGACTGAAGGGTTTTAAAAAGAATGGTATCAAAATTCTCAGGAGATAGATCTATAGGCTCATCATATGGAACAGATAAATTTGACATATACAGCTACCTTTGGAAATTTAGTTTCTGGTACCTAAACTTATCTACTTACCTATTTTTGGATGAATTTCATCTCTCAGTTTTTGATCAATAACAATGTTTTTGGCACACACAGGAGAGGTACTGACTGCCCTTTGAGGAACCTTGG